GACGTCCACAATACAACTAGGAGTCACTTGTTTGCTTGCCATGGAAGGGAACAGAGACAGGTAACTTCCAAACAAGAGGTGAGAAGGTTATGTTCAAGTTATCTTACAAATTATTTTAGTGGGGTTTTGTTTTAGTTTTTTTTCATTCGTGTGCCAAAAACAGATATTGGAGACCACTCAGGGTTGGACTCCACTCATACACTTGACTTGAGTGCTTGTGGCAGTAGTCAGTTCACCTGTTTGCTGCTTGACAGCTGCAGTCCCAGCACTCTGTAAAAACTGCTCCTAACCTGTGGGTTACAAGCCACGTCAAAAGGAGCAGGAAAGAGATGGCTTGGAAATTAGGTAATCAGTTCCTCAATGGAGCTGTGAAAAAGGGTTGGTAGATGCTATCAGTGATCTACTTTTGTATTTAGAGTCCAGCTGTAATTCAAAGCTCAGCATGCGTGTACATGTGCATTAGAATGTGTACCGAAATTCTCATGAGAAGCATGTTCCTTGTACACGTCTCATATATTGGTGACACTAATTTAACTTACAGAAGGAGAGGGCAGAACAGTCTGCACCAGTCGACACTGGATTTTTCCTAGTGAGAGTGTCAAACCAAAGGAGATCATTCTATAAACCATCTCTTCTCCCATTGCAAGTTGTTAAGATCACTTCTTCCTCAAGGATTGTGCAATACTGAGTGCCTCTGTTGAGCACCAACCTATCTGTGAACGCCAGAAATGAGGTTAAATTTGTAACTGAAGCTTTTTTGAGATGTGACTCTGAATATTTCCTTTAACATCTTCTGGGATTAAAAGACCAACTCTTGAAACCTCTGGTATATCCTGGAAAGAATTTTGAACACCATCTTCTCACCCCGGTGTTTTCCAAAGATTTTGTAAGAGAGGAATCACAACATCTCCAGTTCCTTCTGCTAAAAAAATCCCTAAAATTCTAAACTGGGTAGAGCACAGATGTGGATGGTCTCGTTTTGACACACTGTAATTAGAGATATCTTCCACTTCTTCAGATGCTGCTTGTGCTTGTGTAGTGCAACTTTATCATGCCGCAAGAAGCTAGAGAGCTGTGTACTGTCTGTGAACAAAGTCAGCAAAGGACCTCTACGTTTTTAGGTCACCCTGGTGAAAAACATCTCAGCGAGGAATAACTGTGACTAAAAGCACAGTTACTGCTTCACGTAGAATTGCTGTAACAGCACAGGAGGAAGGCAGGCTTAAAGCATGTTGTGCATCTTCCGAGGCTTGAAAAAGAAAGAAGGTGAATCTCTGATCACTGCATGTTTAAGAGAGCTGACATTGCAGATGTTACATTAATAACTTTTGGAAACAGACATGAGTGTTTGGAATTAACTTCAGTAGAAGAGGGTGCAATTTTTCTATTTTTATTCTGCTATGAGCAGTAAATCATGTAATTATAGAATCATAGAATCACAGAACAGCTTGGGTTAGAAGAGACCTGAAAGCCCACCCAGTTCCAACCCCTGCTTTGGGCAGGGCTGCCACCTCCCAGCTCAGCTGCCCAAGGTCCCATTCAATCTGGCCTTGAGCACCTCCAGGCATGGGGCACCACAGCTTCTCTGGGCAACTTGTGCCAGTACCCCACTACCTTCTGAATGAAAAATTTCCACCTAATGTCTAATCTAAATCACTCCTCCTTTAGTTTAAAACCATTCCCTCTCATCCTATTGCTATTAGACCACGTAAGAAGTCAGTCTCTCTCCATAAAGTCATATTATCTAAAATGCAGATATAGAGAAATGTGTGCAAGAATGTCTACGAGAGATTCCACAAAGTGACAACTGTGGATTGTTTCAGATTTAAAAAATGGTACTGAAAGGGACTTAGCTATTTCCTGCTTGATGTTTACACCAAAAATAGATCTTCCTGATACCATTATGCTGTAGAATCCTAATGAGTTTACTTGGTGTAGGAGCAAGACACTAAAAACAGGCAGAGAAGCAGGAAGGCATTACGTAGCCATAGTGTTTACTATTCGTTGCTGTTTGTTTTTGTAAACATCTATTTAAACTAGAGTGGCTCTTGGGAAAAATAAATGCTTTGTGAGTGTACCAGTGCTATCTTCAAGCACTTCAACTGGAAAAAATATGCTTCAGAAAAAAACAAGGTTGATTCAAATGAATGCTGATATTTTAAGGGAAAAATCACGTGGTGTACATTTAAAAAAAAAAAAAAGAAAAAAAAAAAAAAAGAAAAAAAAAAGAAAACAAGTCCCTTAGACTTCACATATCCTAAGAAAGTAACAAAAACAAACCTCGGACTTTGTGTTAAAAAAAATCCAATGCAGATGTGGACAGATAGCTGTAGAGCTTTCTCAGAGTAAAGCCTTCCAAAGGAGTATGAGATGGGTGTAGCACTGCAGTAGCTGTGAGGAGGAATCCTTTGCTGGACCTGATCCTCAGATTCCTTGTGGTGCAATGTGCTGTTTGCTCATGACCAAGAAGTCTGACAAACATCTGCTTTTTCCAGGTCTGTGCTGGAACAGATTGTCACTGCACTGCACGAACATCTGCACAGAGGTGCAGTTGTGCACTCAGTTGATGCCAGAGCCTCTTAAAGACACATCTCCCTGCAAAAGTGGGTAGGCTAGCAGGGAAGGTACTGTTAAAAGTGTTTGGATCACATTTTGAAAAGGAAGGTTGGCTTCAGTGGATTAATAGAAAATCTCCAGAGGTTATTTCATGCAGCCTGCTGGAAATGTGCCTTCCAGCAATTGCAGCATTGCAGTATGGTTTGGGGTGGAAGGAGGCTTTAGAGTGGATCTGGTCTATCTCCATGTCTGGGGAGAGCTGATAATAGCTTTTTAGTATCTTCTCTAGATACTAAAGGAGGGCTATAAGAAAGAAGGGATCAGACTCTTTAGCAAAGCCTGTTTGTGTTAGAACAAGGGGAAAATTGTTTCAAACTAAAAGAAGGGAGGTAAGGATTGGATGTAAGGAAGTTTTTTACACTAAGGGTGATGAGGCACTAGAACAGGTTGCCCAGCAGGGTGGTGGATGCCCCATCCTTGGACACTTCAAGGTCAGGCTGGATGGGGCTCTGAGCACACTGATGTAGCTGTGGATGTCCCTGTTTGTTTCAGGGGAGAACTAGATGGCCTTTAAGGGCCCCTTCCAACTCAAATGATTCTGTGGTTCTATGATCTCCCCATACTGCGCAAGGACACCTTCAGACTTGGAGGAGAAGGAGGGAAATCTTAAACCTGAGGGTTGTACCCACCATAGTTCTTCTCTGTACCTTTCCTAATTGTCACACAGGACTGACTGGGTGGCTGAAGCGTGTTTGTACAGCACTAAGGTCTTCTGCTGTCATCTGTCCTGCTCATTCTCCAGCAGCTTTAGATGGGTTATCTCATCCAAGCTAAGGTGTGCAATTGATGCAATAGAAGGAAGGGATGCCACCTAGTGGGACCTGGACAAACCTGAAAGGTGTCCCATGTAAAATGAATGAGGTTCAACAAAGTCCAGTGCAAAATGTTGTACTTGTCTCAGGGCAATCCTGGATATATATAAAAATTGGGAGAAAAAATCCTTCACAGTAGTGTAGTAGTCCTGCAGAAAAGGACTTGGAGGTCCTATTAGATGAAAGAAACTTGTCATGAGTGAGCAGTGTGTGCTTGCAGCCCTGAAGGCCAACAATACTCTTGACTGCTTCAAAAAAGGGGTGGCCAGCAGGGAGAGGGAGGTGATTGTATCCCTCTACTTTGCCCTTGTGAGGTGGAGTACTGTGTCCAGGTCTGGGGCCCCCAGTACAGGAAAGATGTTGAGCTTTTGGAGAGGGTATAGAGGAGGGCTACAAGGGTGGTCAAATGGCTGGAGCACCTCTCCTGTGGAGACAGACTGAGGTAGCAGGGCTTGTTCAGTCTGGAGAAGGCTTTGGGGAGACCTCATCATGGCCTTTAAATATTTAAAGGGAAATTATAAACAGTAGGGAAATCAACTTTTTGTATGGGCAGATGGTGATAGGGCAAGGGGGAATGGTTTTAAACTAAAGGAGAGGAGATTTAGATTAGTTATCAGGAGGAAATTATTTACTCTGTGGTGGTGAGCCACAGGCACAGGCTGCCTAGAGAAGCTGTGGTGTTCTATCACTGGAGGTGCTCAAGACCAGGTTGGATGGGAGCCTGGGCAGCAGAACTGGGAGGTGGCAGCCCTGCCCACAGCAGGTCCCTTCTAACCCAAGGCATTCTGTGCTTCTATAATTCTATGATTCTATAATTCTGTGATCTTGTCCTGCTCCAAGGAAGGCAGAATATTAGGTCCAAATATAATTAAGGCTTAATTATAAGTTAGTGTACTAGTGAATGATGCTGTATGGGACATGTTGCATATTTTAAGTTCAGTGAATAATACTATTTTGCATTATGTGCCATACTTTTGGGGAAAAAAATAATCATATAACTCATTACAACATAATGTATCCCAACAACAGGGCAGATCATAAGGCAACCAGAAGTAACTCTTGATAGCATGTAGATAATGTCCTGTGGGGAAAAAATGTATCCCCTCTTTTAACTGAAAATATCTGTACAAAACACACTGGAGCCTGAAATAGCAGATCGTTATTGATTGCCACAGGAGGAATGAAGCACATAATTTAATTTGGAGATGAGGGGGGTGATGAAGCGAAAAAAAGGAAAAAAAAAAAAAAAAAAAGTTGCCTGATGGGACAGGCAGAGCCCAGCCCTGAAGGAAGAGCTGGATCTGAGGCTGACGGTCTGTGTGAGGGATGTGAATGTTCTCAGGTCCGGGTGAGGGACGGAACCGTCCCCACCGCAGCAGTACCGAGACCGCGACCACCCGCACGTTGCCGAACCGTCAGGGCCGCTTCTCCGCTTCCCGGCCCGCAGTCCCTCAGGCACGCCTCTCCGAACCCCGCAGGACCACGTCCGGGGCCTCCCCTCCGAACGGCCCCCGCGGGGAGCCCCGGGCCGCGGGACGGGGCGGGGCGGGCCGCAGGGGGCGGGGAGCCGGGCCGGGCCGGTGGCTCTTCCCCGCAGCGCCGGGACAGCGGCACTGAGGCTGCGGCCCCGCCATGGCTCCCGGCTCCGAGCAGCTCTTCGACTCCCTGGGTCACTTCGGCAGGTAGTGGGGCGACTGCGTCCCGTCCGGACACACGCACACACGGAGGGTGACAGTGCGCAGCGCAGCGCATCGCACGTGCACGCAGCACCGCGTGTAGCACGGGCTTCTCTGGAGCACCGCTCACACCGCACCTCTAGGGTGTGAGCACGAGTGTTGCTCGGCGGCTTTGCTGATATTGGGCGTATCGCGATGCGTGGGTATGAGCGTATGTGTGTGTGTCGATGGCCAAAGAGTTCCTATGATCAGCGGTGCGATGCACAGGACAGCTGTTCTATGTGGGGTGTGACTGAGCGCCCGTGGTTGGTAAAATGAGGTGCGCGGCTGTGTGTGTGGCTGGTGTGCCTCTGTGAGGGTGAGCCTCTGGTTACACGTGGAATGGAGCAGAGAATGGTGGGTGAGGAAATGGAACTTTAGGACTTGTATGATGGAAAGGTGAACATCCTCTTGGCATGTTCTGTTGTGAGCTCTCTTTGTGCACAAATCCATGTGGGGGTTTTGCAGGTGCATACTGCTCAGAGTAGGTGTCCAGGGCAGACCCTTGTGTCACAATTTGGGTACAAGTTGATGTACTGGATCACAGCTTTGTGCTTTCTAGCTCAGTCACTGGTGGGCTAACCACAGTGCTTCTCCCACTGGCACATTCTGAGCATATCCCTAGAGCTCCTTTTAATGGTAAAAGTACACAGCTACACTGCACGGCGGGACATACTCTTAATCATAGAATCTTAGAGTGACTTGGGTTGGAAGAGACCTTAAAAGATCACGAAATCATACAGTGATTTGTGTTGGAAGGAACCTCAGAGATCATCTTTTCCAACCCCTCCGACAAGGAAATCTCCCATTAGACCAGGTTGATCAAAGCCCCATCAAACCTAAGGCCTTGAGTATCTCCAGGAAGGAAGCACCACGACTGGATTCCAACCCCAGTGTCCATAGCAAGCAAAGTATTGAGAACTGCTGCAGTTGTTGAGTATGGAAAGGCTATTTCTTTGCTGAACTGGGATGTTTGCTTACAATGAAATCTGCCAAGTTGTGACTGACATGCATATCCATCTGGACAATATCTTATTCATTATCAGTTCTGGGCCAGCCACAAAAATATTTTGTTCTGTGTGTACTAGGAGGGAATTCCTAGCAAACAGATTATTTTGCTGTTGCTGTCACTCTTTTGCCTTGCGCTGTTTTGTGAAAAATGAGCATTTGACACTGAGTACTGAAATTAATGAAGTAGTTTTCCTAGCTGAGAACATTTATCAGTACTTCAGTGAAAGTTTTCATATACTTTTTGCAATTAAAGGGAGAATAATCTGGAGGCCAGATTATATGAGATGCTGTTCATAGGAGTTGTCTCGGGTTTAGAGCTTTTTGGTGACCTGCAGGCTGCTGGAATGCACATGGTAAATAAACATATTACCCGTAAAAAGTTGTCTGCTACGTATATGCTTAATTATAATTCTAAAATAAGTTCTGATAAGTCTGTGTCCATCATTGTGATACTGACAGATACTAATTTCTTAGGTTCATGAAATTCCTACAGGGCCCATAGAAACTATGCATTGTGCATGGATTTATTAGGTCTGCCACAACCAGACTTAGCAGTGCAAGTACAACTGTTAGTACTTGGGGACTGTTCCGATTATCTTACACTCTGACAGATGAAGTAAAGAATGGCCAGCTGTTTGTATGCATGTATATATATTTCTGGAGAGAGTATACATGCATGATGTATCTGCTATGTATAATACGCTATACTATAAAATATATTACGTATATAATGATTCACACAGAACGCATAAAACTTTCACTTTAAGATAGCTTTGCAGAATTGACATCCACATACGTGCTGTCAATGTTTTGTTTTCCATTGGACACTCCTTTGGAAGTCTCACTGGTGATGCTGTAGTTCTCAGCGGACTCTTGAGACGTGCATGAACAGCCATAAAAAACGTGTCGGTTGTTCTTTCCTTTGCTTCTAAAGGCAGACTTTGAGCCTTCGTGGTGGGTTGACCTTGGCTGGCTGCCAGGTGCCCACCAAGCTGCTCTCTTGTTCCCTCTGCACAGCAAGGCGCAGGGAGAAGATGAGATCTCAGCCGCTGGGCTGAGATAAAGGCAGGGATATCACTCACTGATGGCTGCACAGGCAAAGCAGATGCTGCTTGGGGAAGATTAATTTAATTTGTTGCAGTTAAAAATAGAGTAGCATAATGAGAAACAAAGCTAAGAACACCTTCCTCCAATCCACCCCCTACTTCTTAGCCTCAACTTCCTGCCCAAATCTTCTGCCTTGTCCCCCTGATGGACACAGAGGAACAGGGAATGGGGACAGTGATTGGTCTGTAATGCTTTGTCCCTGCTGCTCCTTTATGGTCTCTCTCTGCCTAGTCCACTATGGGCTCCTTCGTGGCTAGACCTGGAGATATACTTTCTGTGGTGCTCATCAGGTGCATGAGTAAGGCCTGCATCTCCACAGGACTCTCCTGGGCTACTGGAACTTCTGCTCCACACCTAGAACATCTCCCACCCTTCTTCTACGCTTACCTTGGTACCTGCAGGGTTGCTCATGTCACACATCTCACTCGTCTCTCCCAGCTGCTGTTGCACTGCAGTTTTTCCTTGTTTTCGGTCTGCTCTCCTAGAGCTGCACCCAGCATCATTCACAGCTCAGCTCTGGCAGCAGGAATTTGCTTTTGGAGCAGCTGGAGCTGGCTCTGGTCTGATGTGGGGCAGTTCTGGGTTCTGCTCACAGAGGCAAACCTTGTTTTTGAATTTGGGAGTGAGTAGCATCCCTGGCCCATCAGTTCAAGAAAGCTGTTTCTGGTGTATAAGATCACTGCTTGCTATTGTAAAGGTTAACAAAAAAAAAATCCACCTGTATGCCTCAGAAGGTCTTATCTCTAATGGGCTACCTTAAAGCTCCCAATTTACCTGCACTGAACTGCATCATTCTGTCATGCAGCAGTTTCTGACAGTCAGTCACTTTGGGTTCTCCCTCTCTGCCCAGCCACTCTGAGTGCAAAACCCAAGTGCAGGGAAAGAGAAGAGATGAGTGGCAGGCCCAAGGCTGGTGATGCAGCTCGCTGTGCCCTAGCAGCTCTTTTGGGAAGCTTGGTTATTTTAGTCTACCAGCAGGACACAGACCTAACTTACCTGGTTGAGTGTGTTTTGCACCTCCAATCTACACCATCACAAAGTGTTGAATGGGGAATAGTGTAATAAGACATAGAGGCCCCGGAGCTTGTCCAGAGGAGGACAGTAAGGCTGATGAGGGGTCTGGAACACAAATCTTATGAGGAGCTGCTGTGGGAATTGGGATTGTTAGTCTGAAGGAATCTCAGGGCAGACCTTGCAACTCTCTAGAATTCTCAGAAAGGAGATTGTGGTGAGTAGGGTTGGCCTCTTCTCCCAGGTAACAGCAATAGGACAAGTTGCACCAGAGGAGATTCAGGTTGGATATTAGGAAAAATTTATTCCCCAATAGAGTGATGAGGTATTTTAACAGCCTGCCCAGGAAAATGGTTGACTCACAGTCCCTGGAGATGTTTGAGAAGTGTTTAGACATTGTACTAAGGGACATGGTTTAGAGGGGAAAAATTGGTGGTAGGTGGACGTTTGGACTAGATAATCTTTTCCAGTCGTGGTGATTGTACAGTTCTGTGTCTTGAGAAAAATGGAGTGCCTCTTACTGTTAGTGTGGATGAGAGTGAGGAGTTGATTTCCCAGTGGCACATCCAGGAGCTATAAGGTGCAGTCTGCGTGGTACGTAGAGCTTTCTCCATGATTTACAGTTTTTAGATCTTGGCTTATATTTTGTCTAAATGTCGGTGGTGGAAACTGTCAGGAGACAGGACAGTTGGGTGTCACTAACACTATTTTCAGGTTTTGTAATGAAATATTTCTAGATTCTTGTAAAAGATTGTTCTTTTAAACTATCCTTGCATTTGCATCTGGGTTTGGTTTGCATTTGCTTTTGTTCTTTTTTTTTTTTAACCAAATGAAAATAGACAGATTTTCAAATGTTAGTTTTATAAGTGAAGTATTGTACTAACTGTTGGACTGTTTAACAAATTGGCAATGATTGTTTTTTATCTTTATTGAAATGTTTATGTATTGATTTGGGTTTAAACGTCTTCCCGTAGTTGCCTTACACAAGCTTGTCACCTGGTGAATGGGTCTGCTCCAGTTGGGATTTCAGAAACAGCCCTGACCAGGATTAGCAGTGGCCTATGGGAAGAAGAGAGTCAGGACAGAGTGCCTGCTGGGGCAGGATGCTCACCTCTTGCACCCAGACTTGGGCTCCACGAGAGATTATCACATTTTTCAGTAGTCTCAGTGCTTTCTGTTAAGTGCCCTAACACTTTGCTAGGGGCCACAAATAGAATGGAGACTATACTTAGCCTGTAAAAAAGCAGACTTCATGTTAGGAGAGGTTCCTTCAGTGGGTGTTTGCAGTGCAATCCCTGCCTCTCAACACCATAAAAGCAGTATTTGAACACTCAATGCTAAGACCATTTCTCTTCTCCCTACATTCTATGACTCTTGTTTCATTTCTAAGGCCTGCACCAAACCATCCGTCCTCTTTTCATGTCTCACAACTTTTCCAGGCTCCTATTTTCATTCATTTATTACCTCTCTTGTTTCATAGCTTGCAGCTTCTCTTGAGATCTAATTACATCTTCTGCAAATTGTGATACATACATGATACTTTCAGGAATTTTCCAGAACTTATTGGATATGTATCAAATAACGAAGAATCCCAAGTATCTCAAAGTAAATGCTCATCCATTCCTTTTCAATAAGAGATAATAAGAATACTTTCAAGCAATGTTTTTTCAAACTCATGTTTTACCAATGTCTTGAGTGATTCTTCCCCAACAGAAAAAGACTTTTCAAGCAAATGTACTTACTGGATATGGAAAAAGTTGTGGTTTTCTTTTCCACGTTAGAATGGAAAAGCAGGTAATCATGTTCAGCATTTGCACACATGATTAGGCTTTACTTTAAGAACAGAAACATTACAAGCATTTTCAGAAATACTAATATAATTAGTGGTTAGTACATCCTACACAAAATTAACATTTGTAAACAAAATAAAATGAATTACTGTTTAAAATTTTACATTTTGCAAAAATGAGCAAAATACTGTGGTTTTGAGATTGCTAGCTGGATGCATGCTAGCTATTTTATACAATGGACAAGTTTATAGCAATGTGTCTTCATTCAGTTTTGAAAATGTGTTTGTGGACAGCTGTTTGCATTTACTGGAATGTGCCAGAGAGAAGAATCTCAAATCTAAGTCCTCCTTTGGCTCCTAGTCAGAGGTGGTGTTTGGCAGGAATGCTTGAGAAATATTCTTCAGCTTTATAACTGTACTATATTATGTCTGAATCAGCCTATGTTTATCTCAGGTGCCCATGGGCTAAAATAAGTGGACCTAGCTGCATCTAGCTGCATTTTAGGAATAATTGCTTTTTTTTTTTTTTTTTTTTGAGTATCCTGATATTTTGTAAAAGGCACTTGATCCCACTGGTGGAATGGCATCATAATAGCCTCGGAGAAGTGAGACAAGCCATGTGTTTTCACAGAGCAGACTCTAGCAGCTTCAACAAAGCTCTTATTATCTATGCCTGACTAGGCAAAAGTAGAAATATCTTCAGGGCTCAGAACCAAAGGTGGACATTGGCAAGTGCCCCTGGATAATGGGGTTGATGCACTAGCAGTGCTGTCTGCAAGAGGTACTCGCTGTAGTTGCTGGGATCCAGATCATGCTGGAGGCAGTCTAGCACAGGATCTGCACAGACAAAATTGCACTGCATCAGAATGTGCTGGCAACTTCTCCCCACCTGCTTCTGGAGGGAGTAAGTAGATTGTAACAGTGTGTGTTACCAAGTGTGTTGCCTGTGATTTGGTGCCTGGTATATTGCTGCTGTGAAAGCTCTGTTGCTTCTATGAAAGCTCTGTGAATAATTTTTTAATGATGGTCATGATTTTCTACAGTACAAAAGTTCCCCCAAGTTGGAAGGAAATGTTTTATAAAATGGACTTGCTCATGAGAAGCTTGGCCAGTATATTGCAGGAGGTGACATGATTCAAGTACAATATAGTATTAAATTTAAGGAATTCTTTGAAGGTCCCAGAAACGTTCAGCACATGCTGTAAAAATTTCTGTGCTAACATGCTGCCATACGCAACAAGAGCAGAACTGAAATATGTGCACAGCTGACAATTTATTTCAGGTTGCTTGAGAAAAATTAGCGATACATAAAAAATTTCAACTGAGGTCTCCATTTCAAAGACCAAGATTAGAAACAGTGTGATGACAAACTGTACAGGACAGAGACTTACAAGTGCTCATAATGGCAGATCTGACAGTGCATATAACTTGGGAAGGAATCCCATTTCTTTGAAAAATACTGAAATTGCCTAGAAAGCTAATATATGCTTTAGTATCATACACTGATAGCCAACTGTACTGCTCAGCTCACTCAAACCAGATGTTCTCTGAAGTTCATGTGAAATGAAAGGTGATTTCAGGAATCTAGATGAGCCATTGGTTGGATCAGAGACTGAGCTCTTTCCTCAAGAAAACGTTTTCACTAAGAGGAGAAGCTGGGATTCCTCTTCCCATTATTTGGAGGCATTGCAGATGTCTGGCATCGGAGGTGCTGCCTCACCAGTGCTGAGATGGGAATAAAGGACACAGCTTGGAGAGTAGATAGAAAGGGCTGATAAGGCAGGAAGAAGAATACAAATACCAGAAAGATCGCTCAGGAAACTGGTCTATAAAAAATATGATCTATACTGCTTTATGAAAAGTATTCAGCATCACACTTGGATGGAGCACAGTACCATCTCAGCAACCTCTTCTCCTGTCTAAACTGTGAAAAAGATTTGGAAGGCTCTGCTTACCCATTTGATCCATCCATCCCGTCTGTGTTAGCTCTGTGAGGAAGAAGTTAGCTGTCCAAATCAAGGCTCAATAGTGTAAATAAAATAAAGAAATAAAGATGAGCTCACCAGCATTACAGGCATGTAGTACAAACTTCAAACATCTTCCTTAGTCTCCTTGTCAGCAAAGATAATGAGACTCTTTAAAGTTGTGATTCATCTGACTTATTTTCAGTGAGTGCTTCTGAACAGGATGAATGAGGCTTCTATATTTGTCTGTGCTTCTGCACTGAGTGAAAAGGGAATCTAGATAAGTATAAATGGGTATGGATGCGTACCATACACAATATATTGCCTCCAAATGTATGGTATACATCCAAAGTCTAACTTATTCAACTAGTTAAGGCTTAGCTAGAAGGTTGGGATGTGGGAGATACTTCTGGCAACATACTTTCTGTGTCACAGGACTAGCCAGCATCTTTCTATCAAATCAACACAAAGCAGGTAACACAGTGTTTGCACCACTCTGCTCTATGTCAAATATAAGAAAGATTGTCAAATATGCAGCAGCACTACCGTTGCAATGCTTGATACCTTGATAGCTTTCCATCAGCAATACTTGTTGTCAGTTCCTTGAATACAAGCAATTCTAATAAGGCCAGAATTTGAAATGCCAACATTAAGATCAGAGAGAAGGAATCAAAGCTGTTCTGGAAACACAGTAGGCAAAAGTGTGTGGGTTTTCTAGCCTCTAAATTGCAGGTATAGATCTTTTTGTTCTTGGTGAAAAATCAGAAAATGATACTATTGATGTACTGTTCAGATAGTCTTTGCTCTATAAATATTACCATATCTGTAACATTACATTTCATTTGAATGTCCATCTGGAGAGAAAGTCAAGTATGAGAGGTGAAAAATAAGCAGTAATAAATAAGCAATATTCAAAAGCTATTCTGCCATGAAACTACTGAATTTACAGTGAAATTATACTGATGAGACCACATTTCACTTAAATAGCTCTTTGTGTCTCAGACTCCAAAACAAATTGCTATTTGGATATTTTTTGGTGTTTGGATCTTTGGATCTGGTTTATATCAGGAGAGATGGGAAATGGCAAGAAACTTCTTTCAACTCCACCCTTCTGAGAGAGAGTTCTTGTTTTGTCCAGGGTTAGAGCAATTGGAACCTCCTATCACTGACACTTGCTTCTTAGGCTCCTTGCAAAGCTGTAGTCAGTAGTAGTTCAAGGTAGCTGATCTTTGTTCTGTCTCTTATCCATTTACAATGGGTGCAGATAGTACAAAAATAGATCTGTTAAGAAGAAACCTGGCAGGTCTGAGCAGAATCCAGTTTTTTTGTTGTATTCTTGTGGAGAACGGAACACTCTGCATTTCTTGCAAAAACTTATGTAAGGTTAGAAAACAGCAATGTTCTAGTTCATTCCTTTGTACCATAAGATAAAGACTCAAGGAACACACCTGACACTGCTGTGGAAGGATAACAAGGTAAAAGAACATTACAGAACATGTTAGGAAGGTATTAAAGTGCAAGACCTTGGAAGAGTGACAAAAGTAAAATATGTGGTTTGTATTTCTTTGTTTTTAATTTAGATTATGACAAGAAATTGAAAGGTGTCTGCTTTTCACTAGGAAATCAAGAACAATGTAAAATAACTCTTGTTTGTTGGTGATGGAATAGATAAATGGCTAGGTTGTAAATAAGCTCTTTGTCTAATTAAAATGAAAGGCAGTATTTTAAATACCCAAGATCGATTAAATTGATTCTTGATGTTTCATCTAATGTATGTACTCAACAATGTGTAATTTTCCTCTGGTGGCCTTCTATGATGGAGTGATGACATTGGTGGGCAAAGCAAGGGCAACTAATGTCATCTACCTGGACTTGCGCAAGGCCTATTGCGTGAACTCTTGCCTTCATCCCTATCTCTAACTTAGAGACATATGAATTTGAAAGGAAGGCTGTTTTGTGGAGAAAGAATTGATTGGTTGTTGCAGCCAGCGGGTTGTGGTCAACAGTTCATTGTCTGTGTGGAGACCAGTCATGAGTGGTTTCTCCCAGTCTTCAGTCCCAGTTTCAGTCTTGGGTCTTCATTTTCATCTTTGTCAATGGCAGTGGGATTGAGTATGCTCTCAGCAAGTTTGCTGATGAAACTAAACTGAGTGGTGCAGTTGATAAAATGGGAGGGATGCCATCCAAAGGGACCTGGACAAGGTTGAGAAAAGGGCCCACATGAACCTAATGAGATAAATAACGCCGAATGCAAGCTGTCGTGATCTGGGAGATCCCAGATAGGGGAGAAGAAATCATTGAGAGCAGCCCTGCAGAGAATGGCCTGAAGAATCTGTTGGATGAAAAGCTTGACATGAGCCAGCAGGATGTACTTGCAGCCCTGATGGTCAGCAGTATCCTGGACTGCATCAAAAGAGGTGTCGCTAGCAGGGAGAGCGAGGTGATTATCCCCTTCTGCTCTGCCTTCCTGAGGCCCCATCTGGAGCACTGCATTCAGACCTGGGCGCCACAGTACAAGAAAGACGTGGAGCTTTTGGAGTCAAGAGGAGGTCCATGAAGGTGACCAAGAGAGTAGGAGCACCTCTTCTATGAAGAAAGGCTGAGGTAGCTGGGCTTGTTTAACCTGGACAAGAGAAGGCTCTGGGGATACCTCACTGCATCCTTCCAGTACTTGAAGGGAGACCTACATTTTATGCAATCTGATAGTAATAGGACAAAGGGGAATGGTTTTAAACTAAAGGAGAAGAGATTTTGATTAGATGTTAGGGGGAAAATTTTCACTCAGAAATGGTGAGGCGCTGACATAGCTGCCCAGAGAAGCTACGGATGCTCCATCCCTGGAGGCACTCAAGGCCAAGTTGGATGGGGTCCTGGGCAGCCTAAGCTGGTGAATGGCAGCCCTGCCCGTGCAGGGGGTAGAATTAGATGATCTTTAAAATCCCTTCTAATCCAAGCCATTCTATGTTTCCACAATTCTTCTTAGAGGAGAGAACACAGAAATATTTTCTTGTCCCATGAAATCAGTTAGGTTAGCAGAATCAGTATCCAACAGTGAAAACTGGAAGAAGTTTAAATAAAAACTGGACAGAGGATCATGGCCAGGCTGCTAAGCAATGCAAAACAAACTGAAAAGCTCTGCACTCATTTGGGAAGGTCCTGTGAGGCTGATTCACCACTGAAGGAGAAGTAACTGAGCACTTCTATCCAGAGTATTTGTGATAAAGAGGGGCAGTTTGGAGGAAAGGTGGGTTGTGAACCTGGAGAAGAAGCTGGAAGTCTTCTTGTGTTCAGTAATCTCCTTAAATGTTGGTGTAGAGATAACTTGCCATGTCTTGGAGAATACAGCCAATTAGGGATACTAAACTGGCTAAGGAGACGAATATTGGTGGGACAGACCACGTGGCCTCAGAAGAGCCAAGAGAATAGATAAATAAGGGACGATACATAGACCATACCACACAGTGCATGTCATCAAATCTGCATGAATATGCATGGGGAATTGTAACTTTTTTTTCAGCAGAGAATCTCTGGCTGAAATTGAGTTGCTTTTCCATGATGTTTATGTTGACCTTGTCTCAGATTTTAGAAGACATGTTATTGAAGTGTCATCCAGTGTGCTTGAATTCGTTAGTCTTACTTGTTACAGTTTTTCACAGGAGGTCTTCTGAAACTCAATGAAGAATGAGAAGTTTTATAAACATTTTCCTAGTGGGGAACAATTAGATTTCTCATCTAGAACCAATCTTTATTGGTTAACAATATGTGGTATGACAAAAAAAAAAAAGAAAAAAAAAAGAAAAAAAGAATTCAGGACTGAAAATGAACTGTCTAAATTTTCTTAGGCATTGTTATGAATAGGGATTGGAAAACACAGTTCCTTTTAACTATTACAGCAGTAAGGCTTAATTATTTTGTAAAATAGGAAACATGCTGGCCTTTGAGTGTTTTATATCTCAGCAGCTGTGGGTTCATGAAAGCTGCAGGAGCAGTTCTGGATGTAGGCAGTGAAACATGAAATCCCTGCCCAGGAAACAGAATGGGTTTGTGTCTTATACCTACGCTATCGTGTCTTGGTATTAGAAAGGATGGTCAGGAGTTGATTACTCTTCATGATGTGTAAGGTTATAGGGATGTTCAGCAGTTCAATACAGTTGTAACTAAACTCTACAGGGAGAAGGTAAACATGTCGCTGTAAGAGTATTAAAAGTGTCTGAACAAGAAAGGGGATTATAATGAATAGCAGTTCCTAATACATTTTTGGGTACTGTGTAATTAATAACGGAATACATTCAGTTAACCAAAATCGAGTAATGCAATACAAAGCAACAGAAAGCAGCTTTGATTTTCCTTAAATTTCAGACTTAGAGATATATAGAAAAACATATAAAACCAAAGTTAGGTGGAGAGTTCAAGAGAGGCAAAAAAAAATGGCAGTTAGTAATTATGGAATCTTCTCATGATTGACATTTGCTTGCTGCAGTCGAAAAGGAAAACAAATACTAGCAATATGTTTGTAATATGGCAAAAAGAGAAAGTTCACTTCCTCTTATTGGAAAAGATTAAAGATTTTGAGTAGAAAGTATCTTTTTTTTCTAGCATTATTATTATTATTATTATTTTTAACCATACCTTTACTCATTTCCCAGGATATATAAAATTAAATTAATTTAATTACACTGGAATTTACAGACAAAACTTTTGTTATTTGCTTTAATTTAAGGAGAGTTTTCTTCCTGTCCTTGTGCTCATGTCAAAAGTTATTTACATAGACACTGCAATACAAAGGACCTGCCATAGTTGCAGCAAAAGATAACCATTTCCAAAAGATAATAAAAAAATTAATGATATTCTTCTTGCAGTACTGGAGATATATCTCATGTAACACTTTTTATGGTAGCTGACAACAGTGTCTTTTTAATGACTCTTCGAGGTAATGTTAAAATGATGCATGTAGATAAAATTATAGTAGAAAAGGTTGCTAGTGTAGATGGAAAATGTTTTCTTATATAACTAAAGCTGGAATTCGTTTACTTTGACTGAGTTTGTTCTTCTGATGCTCAGATGCAGATCCATAATGAAACGATAGAAGTGGAACACAGGATCAGTTTTAAAATACTGAAAGAATGATTTGGTGTCTGCTGTTCAGTGAATGCATGTTGCTGCACAATGCATATTGTCACAATGATGGAGGCTTTCTTATTCCTGTTGGTACCTGTATTGTTGGTACATTTAACTGCATTCAACCGTGTCTTCTCCTCCTGAATACAGATTCTGGAAACGACCCTCCTGCTGATGTGTGCTGGGACTATCATTTGCATAGTTTAAAACACCCAAACTTTTGTCTCTGTAAGGCAAGCAAGGCTAGGTCTGTTGTATATTTAAGACTGGTTCCAAATCTGCACCTCTGTACCATAGCAAAAATACTTCTGTGTCTCATTGAGCTCCTATAAAAAAGTAAATGTGTAAATGTAAGTAATCACAGCTTGTTGATTTAGAGTGGGAAGAATGCTGAATGGCTTTTCTCACATTAAAAAAAAAAAAAAAAAAAAGAAGTGGGATTCAGAACTGTAAATAGTCACTAAACACAAATTCTTTTAGAAACGTTAAGTATCTGGCAGTTTCATTTCACTGAAGCCATGCTGTTGAGTGTATACTGCACAACAGCAACATGCTGTGTTTTCTGTCTTTGCTCTGGTTTGCTAACAGGGTGGTTGAAAATGCAGACAGTAAAAATAGTTCTCGTAAATCCTGTAGAATAGTGCAAGTGTTTGCTAATCATAGATCAACTGTGTGACTCTATCCTCCAGTGGAAGGTTTTTTAAAGTATTATACTAGCTTTTAAGGAGCATCTAATAGATTTGCCATCAATTCCCCTTCTCCTCTGATGGATAGACAAGAAAACAAGTTTTATCTGGAAAATATTTTGTGTTACATGAAGTTGTCAAAAAACACATTTTGAATTATTGTCTAACAACACATTTTGTCTCAGGTGTGCACTGCAATAACTGGCAATAGTAAAAGTTCTCTGAGGTAAGGACTTGCCCTCTAGCTGACACGTGGCAGTGTCTACTTCAGATATTGCCTCCCAGATGAACCACCCTGCAATTAGGCTGCTACTGAGTGCTTGCGTGGATGCAGTGGAGATTAGATCAAACAACTGATCTGGCTTGTTTGTTTTTTAAAATTGTCTCTTTTGACATCTTTTTTTTTCCAAGTTAGATCAGTTTCCCAGATAAAATTTGCAGCTGGTCCACATAAAAAGTACCATCACAACTGAGGAGATTCTCAGGGGATCGCTATGTCTGAGGGAATAAATAAACTGTGGGAAAGGAGAAGGGAAGAAATAACTTACCAGGACAGTGCCACAGGGTATGTTGTGTCATGAGATGATAGCCACAGTGACAGTGGTCTGGGATCTAGTTCATTATCCTTAGTGTTTCTTCAATTCAGGAACTGAAATTATGATATTAAAATTTGCTTTTCTTAGATCATAAAACTTGTGCAGACAGATCAGAAAATATGAAGGTGTTCTATTTTTACTGTAAGCTGCAAACTGAAAAAAGAATAACCGGGGAGAAATTTCACAAAATACTTTAAGAAGGACTGGCACATTTTCATGCTGTGTCTTGTTCAAGCTTTTATGAAGACAGTTTTATGCTCATTTGACTTCTGGCATTCATTAAGTGCCTCTGCACTGGAGCAGTAACCTACAAAGTCTTCTTGACTTCTATATTTGACACTCCTGGCAAGAGTGACAAAATGTACTTGCCAAATAATTATCTCCTGTGGCAAGTCACTAAAGAGATGGAAAAATACTGTGAAAAGCCAGAGATTATTGTAGTTTTTAGGACAGTCTTCATGTTCACAGGTCTTAAAAATAAAAAATAAAATTTTTAAATAAAAAAAACCCCACATAAAGTATTCCTTGCAACAATATACTTTACCTAATCCATTATGTGTATGTGAAGGTAACAGGCATATAAAATATCCTTTCCAGCGACTGCCTTTTTTGAGTTCAGTAGAGGAAAACAGATGACAGACTTTGCTGAGAGAAGCTTTGCCTTCTTTTGGTGAATGCTGGTTGTATTTATTGCTGCTGCAGTTCTATTTTCTTAACGTTTCAGTGCGTGAGCAGCAGTATCTCTTATGTCAGGGAAATTTAACTTTTAAAATGGAGTTGGTAAGCTTGCTAAAAGGATTACATTACATGAGCCTGCGGTTGAGAGATTTAAGCTTATTAATAGACGAGTTTCTTATCTGTCCAGTGTTCTTAACTCAAGAATTAGGGAAAGAGTTAATCATTCACAGCAGACAGCAAAGACAGCATAGACTTTAACCAGGGTCAGCAAAGTGCAGGGGTTCTGCTGTCACCTCCTGCCCCAGCACAGCTTGCTGCAGGGAATGCCCAGGGCCCCCAGGCTGCGGGCCGTCCTCCCACAAAGAAGAGATGCTGCCTGAGTGTAGGCCAAAATACAGACCCAGGATTTTAAGGCTGGGAAGAGCAGTGATGTGTCCTAGGACACCCAGTTGTTCAGAGGGAGGGGGCCTGGCTAGCAATGGAGCAGGGAGCATCTGTGTGCCCCCTTGCTCAGCACTGTCTGCTGTTTTAGCAAACCTCTGTCTACCACACGTGACTGGGCCCATGGCTTTCTCTGTCTTTTGTCAATCTGCAGCTGCCCTGGCAAGAGAAGTTCAATGTGTCTATGGTACTTTTCCATCCCACGTATCATCCTCCTTACATACTTTTCATGCTTTCTATGTATTGTCACTGATGGCCTAATTAACTCCTTTTTGGTAACTATGCGAGTTATCCAATTTCCTGACCTCTGTGCATTCGGGCTTTCTAGAAACAAAGCTCCTGGTATCCACAGGAGAAACTCACCAGTTCACAGGGTTGAGTGTTTCAATCTGGCATTGGCAGAGAAGATGCCATCAATACACTACTGTAGTCAGCCATGAATTTTGCCTTCACAGCAAAGGTGAGCTTTCAGGTTTTGGGGTTGTACATATTTTCAGAGTGAGCCCTAGCCAGCCCATTGTGGAATTTTACTGGAGAGAACAGTAGGGAGCTTTTACAGACAGAAAAGCAGCCACTCAGTGCGGAGGCAGGGCTGTGGGTTGCCTTCAGCCACTGGTGCTGCCAGACACGTCTGTAGCTTCACATCCAGCTGTATTCTCTCCTATTCCTGCTTCCTCTGCCTGCTCCTTGGCTTTTTTATTCAGCTGAGAGAGGTTAAAAACTGCAGTGCGGTCCATCCTTCAGGATTCAGCAACAGCATGACTACTTATTGTAAAAACACACTTTTCACACACTAGTTAGAAATGGCATACATTATGTCTGTTACCACCCCTCTGGAATTCTATTTTACTTTTAGTGTTTGCTTAGCAAAGGTGCTACAAATGAGGTAAGAAAAAAAATTACATTGTAGAGCAGATTTCTTTGTTGGAACTGAATAAAATTTTTGTAACACTGAAAACTGAAGAACATTTTTACAAGAACCAGTTACATCTAGTTTTAAGTTAAGCCCTTGAAAGATGGGAGAAATGTTGCATGGCACAGATATTTCTGTAAAATAAATCCTTTATTGCTTTTTGTAAAGGTGGGCACTGTTCAGTAGGACACAGTGGAAAAATGAGGAAGGGGTAAGGGATTGTAACTTACTTAGTTTTACAAAGCAACCAGAGGGGAAATCTGATAATTCTCTATGAAAAAATGATAAAAGACAAGGAAGATTTATTCAAGGTTGCACAAGGATGTTTCATAAGCGGCTAATAATCTCACATTAAAAAAGGGGACATAGAGATTAGATTTAATGAGGAATTTTCCAACAGAATGCTTTGACAGTGGAGCAGTCTGTCAAAATGGTTATTGAAGTGCAATCATAAAAGGTGTTCAGGAAGATATATGGTGAAACTCTCAAGGGTGAAGTTAGTGCAGAGATTAGCTAGGACTGATCAAAATTACAGCCCTGGTTATGCTCTTGGGATTTAGGTTTTACAGAAATAATATAGTGCATTTGTTCCTGCCATCTTCTCAGCCTATATTCTGACAGGCTTTTGTCTTCCTTCAAAGCTCTCCAACAAGAAAGAGCATAAATGTCTTTTTCTTTCTCACTTTTACGGGCTCTAGAAGAGAAGTGATGAACTTGATGTTTCCTATGCTGGAAGAGCTAATTAGGAAGCTCAAGATGAATGTATGGGAGTCTGAATTTATTTTGTTTTACCTGTGTCTGGGAAATAACAACTGGGCTGTCTGACACTACAATTTCTTCATTTTTTTCCCCTACAATTTTTTCCCCTGTATTCAGCACTGGTGAGGCCGCACCTCGAGTACTGTGTCCAGTTTTGGGCCACTCACTGCAAGAAAGATATTGAGGCCCTGGAACGTGTTCAAAGGAGGGCAACAAAGCTGGTGAGGGGTCTGGAACACAGGCCATATGAGGAGAGGCTGAAGGAGCTGGGAATGTTCAGCCTGGAGAAGAGGAGGCTCAGGGGAGACCTCATTGCTCTCTATAACTTCCTGAAGGGAGGCTGTAGTGAGCTGGGGGTCGGCCTCTTCTCTCGTGTCATTAGTGATAGGACCAGGGGGAATGGCTTCAAGCTACGGCAGGGGAGATTCAGGCTGGACATGAGGAAGTATTACTTTTCAGAAAGGGTAGTCAGGCACTGGAACGGACTGCCCAGGGAGGTGGTGGAGTCACCGACCCTGGGGGTGTTCAAGGAAAGACTGGATGTTGTATTGAGGGACATGGTTTAGTAGGAGCTATTGGGAATAGGTGAACGGTTGGACTGGATGATCTTTTAGGTCTTTTCCAACCTTGGTGATTCTATGATTCTATGATTCATGTGTAATGACAGATATTGCACATACTGGGCATCCTGGTTCCAGGTATGCCACTCTTTATTAGCTAGTGGAAGATGTAGTTGCATTGCTTCTAGGGCTTTAATAGAAGTCATCTAGTTCTGATGTCATCCCATTTTGCATCCTGCAACAGTAGCCCAAGTTTCTGAATTAGCTCTTGCTCTGCTATTTTTAAAAATAGCTTTTCTCTTTTGTTGAGAACAGTTGCAGTTAAAATAGCACTGAAGAAGATAAATTAATAAATATTACTAACCATATTTCTCTGTATTAACAGGGGGACAAAGGATAACCTTTGTTTTTTGGGTAGTTCAATATTGTTCAAAAGCCTTTCGGAGCAGTTTCACTCTTGCTTATGGGTAGCTATCTAGTTCTCCAGAAGCTGTACTGACAGAGGATTGATAGGTTTAAGGGTTGCTCTGGTTATGTCCAGTTTCTCTTGACCGTCTCTCTCACACTGTCTGATGGGAAAGAGCACAACATTTGTGGGAGTCTTCAAGAGGGAAGTGGAGCCCAGCTTACTGAGCTGCCACTGTGAACTTAGCCATCCGGCCCTCTCCTCAGACTGCTGTGGAAAAATCTGTAGAGCTATATGCATACAAACAAAAATGCATACAAATACAGTGCAAAGAAGGTGGAACTGTGCTCTTTGCAGTAGTGTCCAGTGCCGGCACCAGAGGCAATAGGCACAAACTGGAACACAGGAGGTTCTGTCTGAAGAGCAGGCAGCACTGCTGTGCTGTACGGGTGACAGATCTTCCCAAAGAGGCTGTGGAGTCTTCTCCTTGGAGATCTTCAAAAGCCTGCTTTTGAAAAACCTGCTCTGGGTGTCCCTGCTGGAGCAGGGGTTGTGCCAGATGGACCCAGAGGTCTCTGTCAGCCTCAGCCATCTAGTGATTCTGAGAGATGGGGATGGTGAGAGGAGTTAGACTACACAACAGAACTTTTCCATTGAAAAGATTAGTTGGACACTGAACACAGCACAATGTATTTAATTACTTTGGCTCTGCGTTGTTTAGAAATTCATTAGAAATTGTGATGATAGATGATTAAAAGTCCTAGGCTAGGTTGTGTTGTAAACCTTATCAGAAGAATTCAAGGCTAGATTGCATTCACGTTAGTAGGGGGTGATCTGGAATTTGTGTTTGTTACAGGCACGTGACATTTCAAGGCAGTTGTTTTTTAGGCATAACTTCAGCAGAGACAGCCTCTGACCATGTTTTAAAAAGCTCTTTTTTGTTTCCTGCTATCCAGATCCAGCGTATGCTGCATTAAGGATGTATGTGTAGAAACTCACCCAATGCTTCTTCAAATTTGTGCAACTGGTTGATTTCTAGTAAATAAAAAAATGAAAGGAGAAACCAAAGCCATAACGTTTTGTTTTGTTTTGTTTTCCCTGAGCAAATGTTTTACTAATTCTGTGCATAATTTTAATAGTTATTAGAGGAAGAGATTTCTTATGTTTAGACTGTGGGAATCTCCTAGAATTTGCAGTGAGTGATAATAGTTTACTGCAAGTCTTTTGACATTCAGAATATGTGTGCATTTTATACACAGAGACTTGCTTGCATCTCAAGCATATTTTAAAAGCTGTTAAAGTGACAAACTTCAGGCTATACATAAAACATTCTTTTACTATGTTTGTTTTATGATACCATCTTTATACATAACTGCACACTGCTGAAGCCAGACCCCCCCCAGATTTACAGCTATGTTCTTTTACAAAGCTTTTCACCCTTCAGATTCTTCCTCTACACACCTACATGTATTATCTCTTCGTCTTTGTGAGATGACAAAGCAAGGTAGAAGATAGATGGAGTAGAGGTAAATGGATACAATTAAGAGAAATGAAGGGCATAATGTGTTTGCTTTGTGCTATTTGACATGCATATCTCTATCCCTGAGGAGCCGAGATTGCAACATTCTGGTTTCTCTGACCATTCTTGTAACCTCAGGTCATCTTTTCGGAGATTTTGATGGGATGGGGTTGGAGCTGGGAGGTTGCTTCCAACTTCACACTGAAGCTCAGAATTGATTCTTTTTAAATGGTCTTCTCTGTGCAGTCATACACATAGCTAAGAGCAATATTGGCTTTTTGACAAAAGAGATATCTGGTATTTCCAGAGGACAGACTGCTTCTTTTCTTATCATTGTTTCTTGCAAGGCCTATCTTATCTTGAAGCCATGCTACAGAACAAACCACTGGAAATAGATAATGCTTCCATTTACAACTTTGCCGCAATCACTGGACTGATCCTAGCAAAATAATTGTGTTGATGGTTTTGTGTCTATAAAAAGCTTTCCTTCAGTAAACCGTTTTTACTTCCCTTTGCAGATTTCAAGCATGTGTGTATTTTGCATCTGTCTTTCAAGCTATGTCATGTGGCATCCATTACTTAGCATCTGTGTTCATGGCGGTTACACCTAACTTTGTATGTGGGATCCCTGGAAATGTGAGTAGCGTTCTCTTCTACAACTCCTCTAAAGCAAGTCTAGAGGACATCTGGACAACGTGGACATCAACAGAAAATTACATTGTAGCCCAGCTGGAAAATGGAGAAATCTGGGAACTTAATCAATGCAGCAAGTCCAAACGAGAAGTCAGTTTTGACCTAACATATGAATATAAAGGCAACAAGTCCATATTTTCTTGTTCTGATGGATTTCTTTATGACGATACAAAATGGAAGAGCACTGTTGTTACGCAGTGGGATCTGGTCTGTGACCGAGAATGGCTGGCAAAATTAATCCAGCCTACGTTCATGCTTGGAGTCTTGGTTGGAGCGGTGATTTTTGGTGACATTGCTGACAGGTAAAGTGTCATCCTCTGAGCACTGTACATTCAGACTGCAGTAACTCTGTGCTTGTGTACCTGTTCTGTTGTTTTCATTCGTTGTGTACAAAGTCAGGTTTCAATGTTGTTTATTCAGAAAAAGAAACTCAGTTTCTTGTTCATATAGCGAGTACTAATTTTCCAGTGTCTTTGCTAATCATTTGCTTTTGGAATTTATTTCCTACTTTATATTATCCATTGCTCTAGGCTTGGTCCCTCAAATTGCACTGTGCAGCTAGCATTTTGTCCAAAGACTTACTTTTTTTTTTTTTTTTTAAGAGGAATGGTAAAAATATCAAAAGTAAAACCTGGGAGTAAGTGTTCTTGTTTTCCACGAGGAGAGATTCCTCATGATAGCGTTTGTTTCTCTCTGGATATGCTGAACTGCTTGAGGACTACAGGAGGATTAAAACCCATGTATTTTGAAACAAAAAATGACCTGACCTTTGTCACAAATACAGCTCTCTGGGACTGATGCAAAGGCTTTGAGGGATTGAGCAAGCCCATTTTTTTTTCCTTGCTGCCTGATTGCATTCTTTGCCTGAAAGGTGAGATTAAACTTCTGCCTCCTGAAGGTTCGTCCAGACAGAAGTAAAAAGGGTCACTGCTGTGCTTTGCTGTGGTTCCACCTACTTACCAGCATGACCAGAGCTCTGCCTGAACCAAAGGAAAACCAAAGCAAGCTCAGGGCCCCCACCAGAGCATTCCTGTGACCGCTGTGCCAAGGCTGTCCTTCATTTGGCCCTTATGGCTCTGCCTCCCCTGCTGTTTTCTGAGATCGTGCACTGAGAGCCAGCTTCACAGATAGTCTCAGAAGTGGCAGTGAGATCCAGGATGCCTAGCTGTGCCTGTCTCCTCATATGACATTTAGTTTCCCAAGCTACACTGTACTGTCCTGAACAGTTTATATACTTGTATTTTGATTTGAAGACTCCTTTAGTGTTATGCATCTTTCTCCAGAGGAGCTTGTTTGTTAGGTGGAGGGTGAAGATATGTTCCACAGCAAACACTATGAGGAGCAAAAGGAGGCCAAGCACGTTGTTCTCTGGTTTTCCTTCATTAGTACAGCATTTTGGTCTGGCAATGTGGGAATGCCAAAAGATGATCTTCCTTTAGTTTGTCTTCTGGAACACATGGAATCAATCTTTCTTCTCAGTTCAAGGCTTTGTAAAACCTCATTTAATACAAAGCCAGAATATAATACCAACATTTGTTCTGTGTCTCTTTAATAAGCCATTGCTTTATTAATTAATACCCAGACATGATTTATGAAGTTAGGTTCATATTGTTCTCATTTCAATTAATTTAAGCCATGAACAGTCAGTTGAGATAATACATCCTGAGTTGCAGATTTACAACTATGGATTTTACAGCTGAAAGTTATTATTTTCTGACACATTCTGGCTGGTGAGAAATAAGTTTGTGGGTTCCTCCCATTCCCAATTAACAGATTTCCCAACAGAAGAGCCAACTGGGACCCACTGGGATCTCTTCTGGCAGGGGTCAAAAACCAGATGTGTGTAATGACTCCTTCCTCACACATCTTCCTGGTCAGGGCTGGTGAAAGATGGTGAAAGACCAAATAAAGAGGGTGCTGGAAAGAGCTATGAGGTGTTGTTGTTTGCAAATGAATATCTGAAAAAAGCAAATCTTATGTACTGACTTCATAAATAAGACAGAGTAAATCTGCAGATTAGTTATTGGGCAGTTAACCTTGACGCTGTTATGTGAGCAATATAATGTCACTTGTAAAACTTAGTTCTGGCAAGAACTCCAGGAGTTTCCATTTTCCTTGAGTTTAGTTGGAATTATTGAAAAGAAATAGAAATTTTCTTTCACATATGGCAAGGAAAATACAGGAAAATAATGCACAGTGCTTTTGGTGAGTGAGAGCCTTAGGTACAGTATTTTCAGACTCATTTCCAGACAGGCTCTCTGCAGTTGCAGTTTTATTCTGATGGAATGTTTATGGTTGCTCATCATTTTATTGCTGCTGTGCTTTACAGACTGGGAAGACAGCGCGTTATGTGGTTCACAAGTGCTGGTCAGTTTGTATTTGGCATCACAGTGGCATTCACGTTTGACTACTACAGCTTCGTCATTGTTCGCTTTCTCCTTGCTATGGTAAGAGAGGAGCTCACTGGCTCTTTCATGTGTCCTTTCCTTACCCTTCTCAGGAAAACCCCTTTTTTTCTTATTTCCTCTTCTACTTCATTATTCTAAAGCCCCATCTGTTGCACTTATTTCAGCAGAGCAGGGAGAGTCTGAATGTTCTTGGACCACAGCACTTTTCCTCTTTGAATTAATAGAAAGCATCTGTATGAAGCAGTGTTTGGTACCTCCTCCATCCCAACCTCTGCTGGACTGGTAATTAAATACCAAGTGTGAGCAGTGAACTCTGGTTTTTACATTGCAACTGGCATTGCATTTCTCCTTGCTGTTACAAATGGAGTACATATTTCTTAAAATAACAAATCTATAACGAGTATGATTTTTTATCTCTGCCACTTGCATTGATGGAGGAGAGATGCACTTTTTCTCTTCTATGCATCTCTTTGGTCTTTTAAACTACATCTGAAGTACTAAATAAATAGGTAGACATGTTTAGCACTTAGGTGTTCATACTGTACTTAAGGATGTTCCAGTATATGTGTCTAAGTATATCTATACATACATAGATATCCATATATCTATATAAGGTATACATGGTAACTGATTTTTACATCCAAAAGTATATTAATAATCTCTCATTATACAATGCATCAAGACATTAGAAAGCTGTCAGAAGAAAAATGATGTAAGTTACTTAAAGGAGGTTGGAAATTTGAAATTAATCACATAATTTAATATATTCCTGTGGGCAGTCAAGAGAGGACATTGTAGCTGGACCTGCCTTTGCCTGATTACAGCACAGAAAGGTTTCCCAGCAAGAAAACTGCATGGGGATTTCAGCCTTGAACAGTGATATCACCACGATTCACTTCCCTGGTGTTGATGCTAGGGGCTGTGGTAATTTATAAAAGCAAAAAACTCTGACCAAACAGATGCCATAGGTCTTAACTGCCCACTGGGAGTAGATTTGAGAGGAGATGTGAAACTGTAATCCTTCACCACTGAGATCAGTGCAGCTTTCCTGTCAGCTTCAGTGGGTTCACAGACAAGGGTTTATCAAATGGAAGATTTGTAACCAGAAAATAGATTTTTTGATTTGAGTAATCAAAATAATATACTGGAATATTTTCTAGGTAGAATTCTAGACGTGTTCTGAAATGTTTTAAGTTAACAAGAGTTTAGAGTGTTACTAGCAAAACTGAAATACATGTAAGATATATATAAAGATATATATTCAAAGAAAAAATCCTTCAATGAAGAATATGTCAGTAATTCCATTCTATTAGTATAGCTAGATCTGTATAAGAACCTGTAACTCTGAAAATGTGCTTCTCTTCCAACTGTAAAAATTTGATATAGTGATATTTACAGGAGTATGAAAGGTAATTCTCAGCAAATGTGCTGTCTGTGACATGCAGATTAGTATTAGTCTACTTAAAAGCCAAGGTTGAGGTTTTCAGAAGTGGTAGTTACTTTGGGAGACTGTTTTCCTGAGTGCCCAGTTTGTGATGTCGTTAAGGACTTGATTTTTGGAAGTGAAGTGATGACAGCTAGTTAGGCACTTTTTCAGGTGTCTCTTACTGGCTCTGCACACTAAAGGGAAGCATCCAAAAGCACATCACGTCTTAAAACCCAGTTCCCAGGTATTCTGAAAGTTTGAATGAGGTTTTTTGTCCAAGTGATTTGTTTTCAGGTTTGCCTCTTTTCTGTTGCTGAGTAACAGGTCAGCACAGTGCCAGTTAAATGTACTCAAATGAGGAATGCAGTTACCTGTTGCACGAGAAAAGTAGATAAAAACCTCACACTGTTTTTTTTTTCTCTTTCTCCATTCCCCAGGTTTCAAGTGGCTATCTGGTTGTGGCTTTTGTTTATGTGACTGAATTTGTTGGCATTAAAGCACGAACCTGGGCTTCTATGCATGTCCATGCTTTTTTTGCTTTGGGAATTATGGTTGTGGCACTCGTGGGATTTTTGGTTCGGACCTGGTGGGTGTATCAGATATTTCTCTCCATAGCAACTCTTCCCTTTGTCTTGTGCTGCTGGATGCTTCCAGAAACACCTTTGTGGCTGCTATCAGAGAAAAGATATGAAGATGCACAAAAAGTAATCAATATAATGGCAAGGTGGAACAAAGTAAGCACTTCCTGCAAAGTGTCTGAACTGTGCTCAGTCCAACAAGATGACCCAGGCACTGACAGAACAAGTGGCAATGGTGCATCCTCAACCAAGAAGCACACCATCTTAGATCTGTTTTGTAATTGGTACATTGCAAGAAGGACCATCACGATCTGGCTGGTCTGGTTCACTGGGAGCCTGGGGTACTACGTCTTCTCCCTGAGTTCTGTCAATCTAGGAGGCAATGAATATTTAAATCTGTTTCTCATAGGTAAATAGTTTTTGTGCTTTATTATTTTTCTGACAGAACTAGAACATTAAATTCAGAAATGTCTGGAGATTAGACAGACAGTTTTTTTAACTTTATTTATCCAACTATGAACCTTGTTCCAAAATTTTCTTGTTAATTGGTGATAAAGCTGATTAGTACAAGAAGAAATCTCACTGTTTTGAGAAAAGAACTGTTTAGAGAGAAGAACTGAGAATTTGTTGGTGTACAAAACTCTTTTCTTTTTGTCTTTGTGATTGTAAAACCACATTCTAATTTTCTCCTCTTCATCCTGCAAGCGTCTGGCAGATCCACACAAAACCTAATGGCAGCAGACCAGCAACACAAAATGCATATGTCATTCTGTTAAAATTAGGAGAACATAGAATAAGTTAAGGCTATAGTCATGTGCAGTCACAGTATGCTGAGTCAGTCTGTACAGAAAATAGATTCACGGTTCTCAGAAGCAGGAATAATTTTGTTTTTCTCAAAAATGTATTTTTAGTTGTGCTATTCCTTTAATTGATCTGACTGTAATATTCCTGTGGTTTATAAGCTGTTATGAAGCGCATTCAAGGCCTGACCTGAAGTTTGTAAGAATCAGTGGGAATACTCCATTGACTTCAGAAGACTTCAGGTTGGGCAGACAGCTCTGAGATAGCAGGGGAATAAATTATGTGCTTTGTTTTATGTGACCCAGTGCTCTCAGTTAAGATGTACATGCCTGTCCATGTACATCAACACACAGAAGGACTGTAACTCTTGTGAGCTGAATTTGAGTTGTCACATACTGTAGTGTATTGATAGGCTGGCATGGTGAAGAGTGAGTGCTAATAACAGAGAGCAGTAAGTAGCTCACTGTGCCCACCTCTTCCAAAAATATTCAAGCAGACTGATGTAGAGCAACTGGCTACAGCCTGCTTTTACCAATACAAACCTCAACATTTGTTTTCCAGTATTATAGGTGCATCGACATAGTACACATACTCAGTAGAGAAACACAGCCTATTTGTTCTTATGTTCTTCCCTGACATTACCCTGGACATAGCAAGATTCTTCATGAGCAAGTTGGCTTAAAACATGTCCGGAATGGTTTAGGATCAGTATGATTTATCTGGGGGCATACCATGCTCAAACAGAGTTTGTGAACAGTTCTTGCCAAATATTGGTCTCATATGGCTGCATTAAGTTTTTCTGGAAAGAGATGTTAGGAAGAGAAAATCTACCCAAGTGGGTTACTGTAAGCAGCTGCCCTCTCTTTAAAGCAAGCCTTGCTGTTTTCTGTAATTTTCCACCCCAAGGAGACTAGGAACTGCTCTATGCTGTAAAACCTGTTCCACTTGTCCTCCTTCATCCCCCACTGACGTATCTTAGGCTATGTTTTCCATCATCTGTTGCCATTTCTGTGACCAGATGAATGATCCTAACACAACAGTTGTCTCTAGATTTCACATATTCGTGACATGTACAATCAAGCTAACTTTCTAGATTAAATGAATCCCCATAAAGAGGAAGCTAGAGTTATAAGATGAATATGTGTAATCATGACTTAAAATGAAATAATTTCATACTGACAGGTGCTGTGGAGTTGCCTTGCTATATCATTGCTTGCATTGGGATGGACAAACTGGGAAGGAGAAACACACTCATTCCGTTCCTTATTTTAAGTGCACTGATCTGTGTTTTAATTATGTTCATACCTCAGGTTAGTCATATATTGTTGAAAGTGTTCCTTCAGTAGACATTTATTTTATTGATCCTGAAGTCTGTGGAGGCAGCTGTTCTTTCCAAATCATATGCTTTTAAAATGCAGCTGCCAGTCAAGGATAGATTTCTGTATTTTCAGTACAGACTTCACAGTACTGTTGCTGGAGACAGATGTAAAATGTTCCCAGGGCTTCAGAGAACCAGGACTGGTAAAAAGTTGTGTGGACACTTTACTTGCCTTAAAGAAAAAACGAGTAATAAATATTGCTTTGTGTTTAAAGAAGAGTCATGGATTTAATTCGAGTTTGGAACAGTGAAGTTTTTTGGTAATTTATTTATTTGTGATCTCTTTCATTAGGACTTTAATGTGTTAATTATCTTGGCAAACATGGCTGGAAAATTTTCAATAGGTGTGGCTTTTGGCCTTATATACCTCTACACAGCAGAACTGTATCCAACAATTGTAAGGTAAGAATTTTTGCCGGAAGATATCTTTCATTGTTTTGTTGTTATTTCCTTTTCCTTTTTATGCTGTTGTGCCAGAGCTAGCAGCTCTCGACATTAGCAACATTGGTCTAAAAGACAGGAAAGGACGAGTACCCCTGCTGCTAAGAGCTGTCTAGTATTTGGCTGTACAGTAAACTTTTATTAATTTTTCATTTCCTTGGCCATTGATTGGTTTCACTGAGGAACTAAAAGAATACTCAGTACTTTCCTGTATGTTACCTATGCCTTTCTTAATAGCCCCAGTTCTTCACTCTATAGTGCATGCTGAATGCTAATCTGATTTTGTCTTCATTTCAGAAGTAGCTGAATTTCACTGAAACGTAAATTCATATTGTTGAGGCAGTAGCTTTCTAGCATAACTTCAACTCATGGCTGCTACAATTTCTAATTGCTTTATTTGCTAGAATTCTTATCAAAATATTTGTTTTATTTACAGATCGCTTGCTGTTGGAAGTGGGAGCATGATGTGCCGTGTAGGCAGTGTGGTTGCTCCTTTCTGTGTGTATCTGAGAAGTGTTTGGATTTTCTTGCCACTTGTAAGTATTTACTTTAATTATAAACATTTCAGGTTCTGAAAATAAGTGTGTGTCACTCGTTTTTTCAGGAACTGAAAGTTGAACTTTTCCTTTGAAAAGAATTGAATGAACCATTCTTGTTCTAAATTTTAAGACTCAAAGATTATTAACTTCCTATTGTTAAGAATATGCAGTAAAGCAGAAGGGAGACTTTGAGTCACTGAAGTGTGAGAAGTTGTTGTGATGTGCAAAAATTTCTGTTCATTGGGTCCTTGTATAAATTTATTAAATAAAAATATTTCCCACAAAATTATACTTTATCTTCCATGTAACGTTTCAGAAGTGTCTCAAGTCCATACTTCTTTACTCTGCAGACCATGCTAATAACTTACTCTTCATTTTTTTCCAGAGACAGAGTTTTTCTCTTTAAGAAATTCACCGTGGTGGCTGTTTTTCTTTATAATATATATTTTTAGTAATATTATTCTATTTTTCTATTATTTATAACATTCTTCTATTTTTTTTATAATAAAATCACAGAATTGCTCAGGTTGGAAAAAACCTTAAAGATCATCAAGTCCAACTACATAAAATTCTTCTTTAGCCTTTTCCCTGGCTTCCCTGGGACGCTGCACTTTAGGAATAGACTTCTAGAAGACCAAGACTGTCTTAGACTTACTATGCTTAGTCTTCACATCTATGCCAGGGCATCTGCTTTGTACTTTTCCTTTACGTGAACCAAACTAAGCAATTCATGAAATGGAAAAATTAAAAAAAAAAGAGAAGCTAACGATGATGTTCATGGTAACTTTGACAAGAAACAGGACCTTGGATTCATTAAGCACACTGTAATGTAGATGATTTCCAGGTCATGCTACTATTGGATCCTTATCTCTAATTGCCCCAGGAGAAGACAGGCGCAGACCATTCCTTCATAGATCTTGGGCATTTCTTCTATGTTATGTAGCTTCAAACCCATTTTGGACAAAATATTTTGTTTCTTTCCTGCTCACAATAAACTGTATTTGTTGATTACATTCCTCTTACGCATTTGCTGCTTAGAAATCATGCAGCTTTTCAATACCTTTTTTTTCTCCTGGAAGATAATTTCTGCTGATGCAAAATTATAAGTAATTATGAAGTTTACATTAAGGTTATAAGTGAACAAGAGCTTATTAACAATTTAAAAACAGTTTGAGTTCTTTCAAAACCCCCTAGAATTTGCTTTGTCTAGCACAGCAATGTTATATGTAAACTGGATGTGTCAGAAGGTAAAAATACAATAGGATGTGTCTTTGACCTAGATTCTAATTTTCTCTACCACACTGGAATTTCGTGCAAAAAATGGCATTGTGTCCTTTTGATTTTGCAACAACAACAATGAAAACCTTATAGATGCTAGATTGGTTTGAGAGAATTCTTGGGAATTTGTTTCATAATATAAATTAATTACATTTAATTGTTTTAGATGAAAACAAAGCAGACCACAAAATAATTTATTCCCTCATGCTCCTAAAAACTGTTTTCTTTCTAAGTAATGACCCCATACTAACCAATACAGCATTTCAGGAAAGACACAGAGAACAATATTTGCACAACAGAGCAGCCATAAGGGAGCTTCTCTTTGTCTGGTCAATGTTTTGCTTACTAGCTGAGATAAGCTTTATCTGTGCAGAAGTGCTGCAGTCAAACCACAGATGATGAATGCTCAGGTATGCTGAAGAACAGTGGAAATGGCAATGTGAACAGAGGAATTATTTCAGCTCTGAGCAGCCCTCAGTGTGCAGAAAGTCCCCATAGTATTTGTGGAGCTGTGTAGTCGTTAACTGTGAATATGTTTTCATTATTAGCTCCTACTATAAAGCAATTGTCAGTTTATTAAATAGACTTGTCTAAGCATGGTGCAGATCTTGCCAAGACTTAGGTAAAGTAAGTGGTTTGGAATGAAAGTGAAATTAAATGGATTACATTTCTGAGTAAGCTGATGTATATCATGTTGACCTATTGTATACACCACGCACTGTCAAGCAGTTAATGCCACTATTTGTTTGACATTCTGCCTCGCATACAGTTATGCCACCTGTGAGCAATGCAAACACCTCATTTGAATGCCTATAAATTTTGAATAGCTTGCTAAAAATGTAGTTTGTATGCGACAACTTTCAAGAAGAGTTGTAGTAATGGTGCTGCTCTATGTGTGTCCTATTTGTGCTTCTCGGTGGTTCAGGATTATGTTCCATTAGTATTTTAACAGGACCTTGATTTTTCTGTCAAATGCATCACAAAGCACAAACAAAAACAACTCCACTGAGGTCAGTGAAGTCAAATGAATGAAAATCCCGTGTTTTAAATATTTTTCATTGTAGTTGAATTAGGGATTTTGCAAGTAAGATTACGCTTTTAGACTGGTTTCAAGCAATCAGATATGAACATATTTGATTGTCAGGCTAGAAGAATTTCTTGTTCTCAAAAGTAAGGGTGTTATTTTGTAGGGAGATTTAATGCAAATCATCTCTCTCTCTCTAGTACAAGTCTACTATCTCCCAGCCTTATACCAGTGTGAAATTAAATTTGTTGCTTCAGGTAGTGAGGAAGACTTAAAAAAATGGCAGCACATCTTTTTTGAAGTTATTCAGGGTAGCTGTTAGAAACTGCTGGATGCACTGAAGTGCTGGGAATAATTTGAGAGTTTGACTAAACTGAAAGTCAGATTTCAAATGAAGAGTCTGAAAAAGCAGTGACTTAAACACACACAGCTGCCACATTAATTTTAGTGGAGCTTAAACATACTTAAATATTTTGCACAACAATACACTTCAATCCATAAACATTTAACTCTTGGCTGTATCAGGAAAACATTTTCTGATGCTGAATTACATATGGACAATGTTACACACAGACATAACATACACACACTGTGTGTGTTTGGATCACACATAGGGCTAGATCCTGTCAGATGCCACATGAAGAGTAATGTCCAGTTTGCTAAAGACTTGTTTTGAATTATTGTAACTTCACTGATAAGTTTGGATACTGTCCCTGAAAAAATAGAAAAAAGAAAAAAGAAAAAAAGATGATGTTTGAAAAGTCACTTCATTAATATGCTGTGATTTAACTGTTTCATATTCTGTCTTTCATAGGAAGCACTGGAAAATGCATTGTAGATGAGGTAGAAGGGAAACAGAGGGAATTAGCCTGGGGTGCAGCAACTTTCACACTGAAAAAAAAGACACACAGTGATGGAATAGAGAGCTGAGATTAAAGGCAGGAAAGGTGGTGTTGTGCAGGTGTCCAGGATAGTGGGAGTTCACAGGGCACAAGAGGCAGGTTCATGTGAAAGGGAAACACTAGAAGAAAGTGTCTGAAAGACCATATGGAACAGAGAAGACATACATCTACAAAGCATAGTGTTGTTTTAATGTTGCTGTCAGGCATCAGTAGTGACCCTGTTCTCATGAACTCTGAGTGTATGGATATCCAAAGAAATTAGTAGTCTTTTAAGCTTCGGTCTCCTCAAAATCCCTCAGTATTCTCAATTATAAATGTATGACAGCCTAAGAAAATGCATAAGAAAGGTCAATATGGAATAGAATTTTGCAGAATTTATCCTGTCTTGCTGTGACAGAAAATAACTTCTAATAGTAGAGGAGAGTTTTGTGCTCAATAGTGAGTGTGTTCTCTGTTCTAGTTGACTTTTCAGACACTTTGTATTCTTCTCACTCAGTACTATTTCCTCTGGTCCTATTACTGCTAGGATATTTTTTGTAATTTCACATGGTGACCGAATGAATATTTTATTTTTGCTGTCACTTGTGCTATTAAACAGTATTTTGAAGAAAGAAGAGTGTATGGAACCATATGAATTTTGCTTCTCAAAAAGTTACTTGAGACAAGGAAAAGCGGCAGAGTGCATTTGCATGAAAACAGCTCTGTTCAAGGTCACAGTGGAGAACTCCAGTTTTAAAGCATCTTTCTAACTTGAGAAGAAAGTCTTACTTAGATGCAGATGGTAGCAGGCCAGTTCTTGTCTCCAGCACTGTGTGAGGAAGAAAGGTGTTGTAGTTCCAAATGTCTCACACTTGTAGGGCAAGTATTAAACAAACAGGACAAACATGAGAATCAGCACAGGACCAGATAAAGATAATACAGTATTAAAGAACACAGTCATGAAATGGAAAAACACTGAGGCCAGGCATGATGTACTGTGCAGAAGCATTTAAATCAAGAGAGATTTGGATTATTTATAACCTAACATTGGAAGAATGTCAAGGTTTTAATGCCTGTACTGTACTTCAAAGGAGGAAAGTAGAAACTGTTCTCACTGAACAAATAAAGAAATAAAGGGAAAAAGAGATGCTTGTGGAGCGTGTGCATCTGCATCTATCCTGCATGGTCCTGGTGCTTGCTCCTTGACACCGAAGCATGCTGTTATGGTAGCATGTATGCCACAGACAAATCCAAGATGTGACCGTGGTGCACATGTCAGTAAATACCTGCACCCCTACTGGATCTATAATGAAAGTTCAGCAAAGTATTCCTGTTGAGAGTTATAGTTTCTGCTGACCACAAGTTAAGTGCTCTCCTGACCCCAGATGCACATTTCTGCAGCTCCAGGCCAACAGTCTGTACCTAGAAATTCTGGTCTGGCTGTACATAGGATGAGCAAGGATGCGGGTACAGGGGGAGAGGTTCAGGAGATAGAGCGTGGATTGAGGTTATAGGTGGTGGGGAAGTTCCAGCTCTGTGAACACGCATGTAAAATAAATGAATGCAATCCTATAATCTATTTTTAAATACATGCATGGTAGTAGAAATACCAAATGAAGATATATATATTCTCTTTTCTCAAACATAATTATTCCTCCTTGCACTGTATTGATTCCTTATGGAAAAAAAAAAAAAAAAAAACAAACCAAAAAAACAAAAACAAACACTGCATTTGTTCTTCATTAATTCTAAACTTGCTATTCATTAATTCTGCCACATAAGATTTCATTTACACAATAAAAAAGGAGATCTTTTGTACAGACAGCATTTCAGACTTATGATATTTGCTTTACACCGCAGTTCCTTGAATTTTATTTCAAGTGTACTCTCAAGCAAGACCAAAGATTTGCATACCTTGAAAAACATTTCTACCCTTACAGCTGCTTTTTATTTCTTCTAGTTGCTTGTTGGAATCATGGCTCTTCTGAGTGGAATATTAACATTAATGCTTCCAGAGACACTTGGAAAACCTTTGACTAATACTTTGGAGGAAGCTACAGAAATGGGAAGAAAGAAGGAAAACTGCTCAGGAAAGACTCCTCCAGCAGACAGTGGTGCAGCATTAGAAAAGATAGAGATGTTTGGTCAAGAAACAGTCAGCACTGAGAAATAAAACAAGATCAAAATGGCTGTTCTCAGTTTTAACAATTATATAATTTATAGGTTATTTTATTCAAGAGAAGACTGTTCTGTAATATCTGTCCCTTTAAATTTGTATCACATCTTGCCTTTTTGACAGAGCAAGAGTACGAAACCTTTTCCACTTGACTGAGGTACTGCAGAAAATTTGATGAGATTTCTAGATCCCTTCTCAAACTTATTTTGCCTTTAGAAAACCTGTCTGACTTGCTGTGACCAGTTGGAGTGATTATTTTAGTTCTGTAACATATCTGATTACATATATGTAAAAAAAGTGCCAATTCTTACTTTGGATTTTCTGTGGTTAGACTTGTAAACCCACCACAATGTGTCTTGTCTTTTTGCAGTCATCAGTTACAGACTCGAGAATTCAATACATAGTGAAGTCAAACTCACAGTTATAATTCAAGAGAGAAGCCTTAACCTCATCAGGTCATACTAATAATTTCAAACTTAAACTGTTTTTTTTTTCTTTTCAAAACTGCTTCCAGAAAAGTTATCTTTTCTAACAAAAGTATTCTGTGGAATAGCTTCTGACTGAAAAAATAATATTAATTTTGCAAAATGTGCAAATAGTTCGTATATTATTCACTCTGTTGAATGGTAAATGTATTTTTATTAGTAGCTTAGAAAAAATTGTTCACTGGATCTACTTGCTATCTTAATAAGTTCTTTTTTAGAGAAAACTGCCTGAGGCCTTTTAAAATACTTCTCATTCCAGACTATTATTTCCGTGCACCCTTTCTCACTTTGTTCAGGTCAGATTAAGTCTCAAATTTGTCTAATGCTTCAGAGCAACACCAATGCTTGTGTGCCAAACACTTCCATACTTCCACACTTAAGAGGCTGAGCCCTTCTTAGTCCTCAGAGTAGAACAAGTGGTATATGAGCCTTATTCAGACTCTGCAGTGGTGGTCTTAGTTATTAAAGAAAGATTAGTAGGCATGGAATCTAAACACATTTGTATTAGACTCCATAGACTCATGTGGACTCTGCAGCTCCATTTTTTCCTTACAGTACAAAAAACCAGTTACAAAAGTATAACTTAGAAAATGATATCAAGAGGACAACGAGTTATTACTTGTTCTGTTTTTTTTTAGTCAGTGTCTGTCAGTGTCTTTTAGATCTTGTGTGAGCATCAACACTCATTTACTGGTGCAGTGACTGTGCCTTATGACTGTGGACCATAGAAAACATATAGATAGGAAAACATAATTCTAGCTGCTCTTTTATGGCTTTCTGCCCCAGCTCTCTTTTTGCTGTTTACCTCTAGTCCCAGAGGTTTCTTCCTTGCCTGTGAGTCTGTATCCTTGTTTGAGCAGATGGTGTGGGAAGCTTCTGAACATCCCTTGCCTGGTTTGTGTGAGCTTTGCTGTCCCTGGTGTGAAATCACAGTTCTTCTCACCTGAGGCACCTACTCACAGGCTACCTTTCACAATCTCATGAAAGCAAGTCTCTCCATGTTTACTTCTTTGACACGTACCCCAAAATCAGACATCTAAATTATTGTAGATAAATATACTGTGTGCTGTATAGTTTATTTGTCATTTTTTCTATTGTATCTGCATGACCTTATTAGTTTCAGTGAATTCTGAAACTAGAGTAATTGTTTATATCCCCCTATAAAATATTATTTCTTCTTCACTGCACTGTCCTACTGTCCTAGAGTGCTTTGGTTCTGGATATAGGATCCAGTCATGTCTAATGTGACAACTAATGTGCTTTGAAGGCAAGCAAAAATCAGCGAATTTACATTTAGGGTGTTTCTGTGCGATAATTAAAGAGGTCTTTGTTCTCCCTTCAGTTATGTGGGTGTCCCAGTATTTGCAGAGAAAACCTCTGAAGAGAACTGCGTGGATTACTATGGCTTCTATCAAGATATAATTTGCTCAGCAAAAGTATGTGCTTTTAACCTTACCCATGTGAGTAATCCCATCATCATTCAGAGGAGCACTTGAATACATACTGTGATGACTAAAGATAGGATTACTCATATGCTGTGGCTTTCTGTTTTGCTCAGGAACAGACCCAGTATTCTTCCACTGCTTTCAGATCCCCCTCTCCCAGTTTCCAGAGCAGAACAACTGCCATTATCTTCAGGATCTGTTGCCAAACCCCGAGTGCCCCACCTTAAACAAGTACTTAACCATACTAAGGGAGAAAAGGGCAGTCGTTCTAACGGGCAGTTAAACTGACTCAGTCTGACTTTGCAGCCACTGTCCCCTTCACAAAGCTCTAAATAATTGTGTTATTTTGGGGTTCTTTCACACGATACTCTCTTTTTCATATGTAGTCCTATCTTATCTGCTTTCATTGCATGGGACAGTACAGTATGTTTTAACAAGGTAATAAAGAACAATTTTAAATTAATTTTTCTGCTTTCTTATCTGCAGAATAACTGACTTGGACATTACTCTGCTTTAAATAGTCAATGCATTTTATGTTTTCCATTGACTTGAGGGATTCAGGACCAGGTAATCTGTAATTGGTGTATGTAAGGTAGGGAAAATAAGAAAAAAGGAAGGACTTAAATGCACACTGATAGTGAGCAATCCTTGTGGGCTACAGTTTTAATCTGTACTCTGAAACACAATGCAGCCTGATGGCTTTTAACACTTAAAGCTAGTGCTTCCTGTCTCTGATGTCAGTTTGTACTTGGTCTTTAATTCAAATGAGATTTGAATTTCCCTGAACCAATTATACTTTTTTTTTTCCTGCTGGAAATGAAATGTGAATTGATCAACAGGTATAGCTTTGGGGGTTTTATGCATGAGTAGCTCTGAGGATGCTCTGGGGCTTCCTGTCCTTTCAGCTGAAGAAGAACATTATTGTAAAAAAGGGAAATAGCATTTCTGAATTTCTGTCAGTAGAATTTCTGCTTGTTTCTATTTCCATGTGGAGGAAAATATGTTTAACACTAGTTATATGTTATAAATGTAGCATAGATGGGATGAGTTGTTTTCTTTCTCTTCAATATTCATAGATTATCTAAATCCTCTTGAAAGAGAGGACTGAGTTTAAGAAAAAGAGCTTCTAAGTTCCTTTGGGGCATGTTTTCCTCTCATTGCTAATAAAAACAATTCCTTTTCATAGTTTTTATCTGAGTCCTTCAGTTCTTTTAAGTTTATATTTGTCATATCCATCTTAGAGCAAATTTATCGTGCTGAGCAATGGCTCTTGAAATATGTGATGGTTTTTTGAGTTTTGGATTAGAATTCTTATAATTGCTGCTGGTCATTGTTTCACAACGATAATTTGTTCTGTCCTAAAATTGATATAGTATTTTACTGAACAGTCACACAGTTTGTAAGGGACATCCTTTCTGGGGTGAGTGAAGGAATTTTCATTAGTTCAATGATAACAACTAAAGAAAATAAATGTGTTTGATATTTTTAATCTGTATTTTCAAAAGTTTGTGAAGAGATGCATTTTTACTTTTATAGCTCACTTCAGTTTATGGAAGTTTCTGCCACTTAGAAAACACAGTAGACAAAAAAGCTGTGCAAGCAATATACATTCTGTATCAAATGCTCTGGGCTGTGCCCTGAGTGAGTGAGGGAGAGAATCCTGCCTTCAGGATTCCAGCAGAGAAGTTCTGTATGACAGCTCTGTGGAAATATAAGATGGTGTGACGCCTCTGCTCTGGGTGAAAAGGGGGTGGAGGGCTTGCTGGCATTCTCCTGTGTCTTTCACAGTTTATTTTTACCAGCTCCTTACGTGCAGTCACGTAGGAAGCCTCCATAGCATGGGGCTCAGCAACATGCAAGTTCTTTGTGTGTGCCTTACACAAGAGCTCACAAAATGCAAGGTCATTTGAACTGTGGGGGCATGATGCCAGAATGGCATTTGTGACTGCTAAAAGGAGGGTGTGGATCCATCTTGTACACTTGTCTGTGTATCTGAAAGATGCCTGCCTGAATCCCACAACAGAATTGCAGGGAACAAATTAAACTCCAAGATTTAAAATGGTGAGTAAAGACAAAAGAACAAGTTTATGCAATCAAAAGAGAAAAACAACCCAGCAACTCAGTGACTTCAGTCAAGTCATATCTGCACTGTTTTCATCTCTCATGAAGAAAAGTGTATTCACAACCTAACCATTTTGTATGTGATTGTGAGCCAGGTGCATTTTGGAAACGTGGGGAAAGTACGTGTTCTTGGGAAAGAGTTTATTTGCCCAGAATATGTGGCTTTAATACAATATATGTGAACAACAATTTTTTAACATGCATGTAACTGCAGATGATAAATACAAGAATAAAGCTAATCACGTTATTTAATGTCTACACTTTTATGTAATGTAATGAACTCCTAATGCTCAGCAGCTCTTTTTGGTGCATGCTTCTTGCAGGAGCTGGGCTGCTGCTCTGGCATTTCCTGCAGATCCCTCCTGCAGTAAAACACACGTGATATCTGTTTCCTGTTTTCACATGCAGATGTAAACTGATATTTGTATAACAACTCATTATGTGGTTACTTGTTTATGCATTTCAGTTGCAGGAAGAATATGATTCTTTTCTCTCAATATTTGTATAAGCTGGCTGGAGCAGCAGTCCCTAGGACAAATTTAGTAGTGACAAAAATAACTATGGGTATAAAAAAATGGGTAGGAATTGATCAAAAAGAGAGTAGGTGACTACAGGGGTGACAGAACAATGCAACTCATATCCACTTGGCGTTTTGTGGATGTGAAAACGAAGTGTAACTTCTTGCAGGAATTGAAGTTCACAAATGGCATAAGGAAAATGAGAATTGCAGCTATCTATAGCCCTATTCTTTTTTATTTGTCCTTTAGTCCTTCTCAGGAACCTACTTATTTTCCACTTCTCTTAACTTTTGAATTAGTGCAAGTTGTGCCACGCATACTTTGTTAATCTTGTTTATTCTGATCAAGTTACACCCGACACTTGGCTTCATCATTCTTGTTTTTAATGGCTTTATATGTCCTTGGTAGGTAGTTTAGATTCTTCCCTGAAGGTAACTGGAGTGAGTAGCTTTGTTAAGAGAAATGTTATGCAGGAGATGATGAAAAACAGAGAACTCAACAAGAGCCTGTTAAAATACTATTTTTTTTACTAATAGTAAGAAATCTGAATCACCTCTGATACTGATTTCAAGAGCACTGAGTTCAATGAAGCTGAGAAAAATCAAGCCTAAAAAGCTGATATCTCAAATGGGAAAATATTGTTTTCTTAAGATGTCTGACATATTAATATGATTGCAAAGAGATTTGGACACAAAAACAGCTCTTTCAAAGAAACGATTAGCCTAGGTTTATGAACAATCAGAAGTAATGGCGAATTGCTTCCCCATCTAGTGACAGATTAACTCCTCTCCTCCTGCATGCCTGTCTGACACAGGCTTGGATACCACTTGGGTGCTTGTTGTGGGGAAGAAAGGACCCAGCCATGATCCTGGATCATGGGCCTCTAGCTATTCATGTTGCCTTCTAATGTTTCACTTGGGGAGAAAGATGACTTGCACTGGATGGAAAAAAAGAGCACGACAGGGCAGTTCTTACAAACCTCTCCATGGTTTCATTGCCACTGATGAGAAAGAAAAGCAGTTTTCACTGCGGCGGTCATGAATGTAGCAAAAAAAATGTTAGTACTTTCACAAAGCTTTTTGATACGGAAATCAGTATTGCCAGTACCTCTCTGATATTAAGAGATTTCTTCCCTGTCTTATACAATTCTCTGTTCTTCTCAAAACTTTCAGAGAAAATCAAGCTGTACTATCATTTTGGCAAAATTTTTCCTTGTTTTTTCCGTCACTGAAGGAAAAAGTGGATCTAAAAAGGTCAGTGATTATGTGTGTGTATGAAATCATGTCTTTACTTGCACGGTTTCAGAGCAGCTCTGAGGAAGGTGAGGCAGGTGCTGTGCTATGTTTGCCCTGCTGCTGTGCTCCTAGACCCCTTGGGGGCTTCCTGCTCGGTGCTGAGGCAGCTGTGGGGAAAAGGCTTCATGGCAAGTGCTGCTCCAGGAGGATGGAGGGGAGCTGTGCTGCTGAGCCTCTGAGTTCAGGCTGTCAGTAGTCATCCGAAATGCCACGGCAACACCATGCACCCTGCAGTAAGACACCCTGCTTTACAATGTTGTCAGGACCCTGGAGATCCTGCAGGCAGGTGTGCTTCTGGCTAAGCTGCATTTTCCTGATGACAGCATAAATGCTCGCAGGCTTGGCTGGCTGGCTTGTTCTTACTGACCATGCTGACTGATGTGCCATGTGTGTTACCACCACTCTGACTGCCTGCTGGAATCTTGCAGTGAGCCCAGTGCAACTTTAGAAACACCCAGTGTGCAGCTAATTGCTAGTAAGAGAGGTAAAGTGGGATGGAGGAGCCTGGGAGCCTCCTCTCCGTGCAGCAAGCCAAGTCCTGGCAGCCGGAGAGTAGGGCTCAGCTGTGCCCGGGCTCAGAGCCAGTGCTGGGTGGGTCGGGTCGGACACACGCAGCCTGCAGCAGCAGTGGGGCTGGGGCAGCTCTCAGGGGCCACCCGGCCTCTCTTCTCCAGGTATTTTGCTCTCCCCACTCTTGTTTACTTCTGTTTCGGTTTTGTTTTTGTCAGCTGCGATGGTGCTCAGCGGGCAGGGGAGGGAGGCAGCTGCCTGCTCAGGCAGCAGTAGGGCCACAGGGCAGCACTGCAGGCCTCAGGAGCTCACAGAGGTGGGACTGCACTTGGGTATGGCAGGAGATGGGTCAGAAAGAACCTGCCTGCACTGCAGGGTGACAAAACAGACAACTTTGCTCCGGCCTGGCCATTTGTTCTGACCACAGAGGAGCAGGAGGGTGGCGGGGGCACTGTGTCAGCTGGCTGGCCATGCTGGGTAAAAATAGCCTGTCCTTGTGAGCCCTCTCAGGTGCGTGCAGGCAGGAGTGTGAGTAATCCTTCTGCTCATTGCATCAGCAGCTTTGCAGAGCCCAGGCTGTGCTTGCTGCTGGGAGCAGGGTGGCCTTTAGCCTGTGCTTTGCACTCAGTTATTTTTTGACACATTAGCACATTAAGGTCTGATGTGCTCCTATCTTGCAGCAGTCAGTGCTGGAACACAGCGTGACAACTGTCCATTGTGTTTGGGCTCCTGTGGGCTCCAGCAGCACCCACAGCCCCTTCCTGCTCACACTTCTGACAGCTTTTGCAGTGCTGGGATCAGCTGACATCAAACCATCTCGCCTGTGAAAATCCCATCTGAACCGGGGAGGTTTGCAGTGAAACCCAAGCTGCCACTGAGCTGCAGTTCCCCTTTCTTCCCCAGCCGCAGAGAGGTCAGTCGGGAAATTCAATCCCCATCTTAGTCCTTAGGGCCCCAACGCCTTAAGGCGCTGGAAGGGCCGAGGGGTGTGGCTTGTGTTCAGAGCAGAATTTCTTCAGACTGGGTTTATGGTGACAGCGAAATGGGTTGGCAGTGCTGGTTCAGGGTTCTTCTTCACTCCTTTGTCCTCTTTCCTTGCTGTGTGGGCACTTTTGCGGTTGCCTTGTGAAAGGAGATGTAATAATTGACAGGAAAAGAGTTAAGCATCATCCCAGAACAGGAGGAGAGGTTGCAAAAACCCTGGGCCGTGGTGCAGAAAGAATGCAACGATAAGCAGCAGTGCTGGTCCCCCCTCCCTCTTACCACACAGCAGGGACATGGCTTAGTGAGCATGATAAGTTGATGGTTGGTCTAGATGATTTTAGTGGTCTTTTCCAGCCTTAATGATTCTATGATTCTATGACATCAAACTTCATGTAGTTCTGCAGGGAAAGTGAGAAGCTATGAAGTGTTGTTGGTAAGGACCTTGTAAGTATATGTAAACTCACACAGCTTGTCTCATCCAAACTTTCATCAAATATGTCAAAGGCCATGGAAAGATGGAAGGGAAATCAGCATTACCCTTACAACTGCAGGTACTGTTTTCCTGAAAAGATTCTCAGAGAACCATAGGTGAAGCTGAATTCTGAAGTCAAGGATGAGTGAGTCCCCTTGGACTCATGAGGAGAACAAAAGTAAAACTGTAGCAAGCAAGACCAAAGGCCTGTCTCAACCAACACCCCCTCCAAGAGTCAGTATTGGCAGTACTTCAGGAAGGCATGAAAGCTGTAGGCAAAATAAACTTTTCCCCATGGCGCACCTTCAGCTTTTGGCAGGGATCCCCAAAGGAATGTAGGTGCACCTCAACTCTGGTATTTAATAAAAGCTTAATAATAATGTAATGCATTAATTAAAGATAAATCTGAAGGATTTATCACCTCTGCCTTTGCCCAGTCTGCTCTGGGCCCATTTATTCCCTGGCTTTAGCGAGTTTGCGGATGCTGACGTCCAAACAACACTGTTCCTCTTTGGTGGCTAGAGGCCAGTTTTCCTGGAACTCCAAGGGGCACTTCTGTACTCCTGACCCCACAGGAAGATTGATGGGTGCTTCACTCCCTGGGTGCCACTGAGAAAGACTTACCCCATATTGCTACACAACTGCCCTATGCACCGACCTCTCTCTTGCTCTTTGCTGTGGATGGGGCAGGGACTGTCTGAGTTGGGACATTTCTCAAATGTGTGTTGTCATGCTGAGGGGTGGTGATGCTTATCCTCACCTTTGTGCAGTGGCAAGTCTTTATTTAGCTGCCAGGGGTTATGTTGTGTCCTGCGCAGGTGTTTAAGAGCTGAAGATGCTGTGCACACTGCAGCTGGGACACGTTACCTATACACCATCTCAAATGCCCACAGGTGCCTATCTCCAACAGTCCCCAACCCACAGATGGCAGCTCCCAGGGTGGCAGTGGTGGGCGCGGGGCTCATCGGACTGTCCACAGCGTTACGTATTGCTGAGGTGAACCCCAACTGCTGCTCCATCACTCTCCTTTCAGAGCAGTTCAGCCCCAACACAACGAGCGACGTGGCAGCTGGCATGCTCATCCCTCACACTTACCCAGGTGCGTGTGAGCTGGTGTGCCAGCATTTTGAGAAAAGTATCTTTTCCTTCACTCCCGCATGTCCTGTCTCCTCGGTGCTGCCTTATCTACTTTCACTCTTTGAGTTTTTACTCTTCTGTGTGTTTGGTTGTATTTGCATACAGGCACACCAATCCACGTGCAGAAGCAATGGTTCAAAGAGACTTTCACCTACCTTTTTGCTATCAGCAACTCAGATGAGGCGTCAGAGGCTGGCATTCACCTGGTCTCTGGGTAAGAGCAATGGCAGGGCAGCCTTTGGCACGCAGCTACTTTGTGCTGCAGCAGGCAGAGGCTTTTCTTTCTGAAGCTCAGGTGCATGCCTCTCATAGTAGCTCTCAAGATCATATTCCCAAGAAACTGTACTGCAGCTGTTTCAGTAGGATATATTTTCAAGCAAAGTTCATGCATGAGTATGCACAGGGAAACCATGTGATACTGGCCTGCCCCAAACTATTTTTTATAATGGATATTCTCCGTGCTGTCATCAACCAGCTGCTTGCAGCAGAGGTGATCTCTGGAGGTGGGACTGCAGGATGCTCCGGCTTGTGGAAGTCAGCATGGGAGTGCAGTGGGTGTGTGTGGGACTGCTTCATGCTGCCTGTGGTGTACACCGAAATCTGGCTGTTGGGAGCGCTGGAGCTGGGCTTCATGGGTACACAAAAACATGTGATCTTCTCTCCAGTCCCTCTACAATCCCAGCTGCAGCCTTTTGTGATCATACTATTTTCTTCAGATCTTGGCATTTGACAAGTTTTAATGTGGACCCTGAGCCTCTCTCCAGTTGATTTTCCCCAGGGTATAACACTCAGGCCTTCTGCTTGAGTGCGCTAGGGTATGGGCTGTGGTAGCAGGCAGAAGTGATTGCCCTTTGCAGAGTTGTATAGTTCAATGAGAACAGAACACTGAATCCTTGGGTTTGTGCTATGATTGCAGCAATGGAGCATAGCACTAGCAGCTACCTTTTGCAGCTTATTTTGCTTGTGCTCTTCCAGCTGGCAGATCTTTAAAAACCCTTCTGAAGCTGAGGTGCCTTTCTGGTCTGACATTGTCCTGGGGTTCCGACCGATGTCCGCAGCAGAACTGCAGAAGTTCCCACAGCACAGCCACGGCCAGGCCTTTACAACACTGAAGTGTGACTGCCCCCCCTACCTGCTGTGGCTGGAGAAAAGGTTGGTTTGGGGCAGGATGGGTTTGCAGAAAAAAAGCCCAGGGGGTGAGGCTGGCAGGGATTCATTATGCATGGATAAAATTGGAGAAAGGAAAACGCAGCAAGCTGGTGTGTACATTTAGCCCATGTAAGTACTCTTAAACTGAGCAAATGAATGTCTCCTCTTGAGAGAAAGTGATAGGCTGCAGTCTGATTTCAGGTTAAGTGAAGAGACATGTACCCATGCTGTGGTACAAATTGCCAGCTGAGCTGATGGCTTGGATGCCTTTCATCTCACTGCAACATGGGAGAGAATGCTTCACGTTCCAGCAGCCATCCTGGGAGGCTGCAGAGCTGCGGGAGCGCTGTGCTGCCCGCTCTGTGCATACACTCTGTCAGGTACCATTGCAAACCAAGTTGGAAATTGCTGCTGAAGTGCAAGCAAGTTGTTAAACCATACTATGCCACATCAAAGAATGTAGTCTAATGAGATGATTAGGTTTTTTTCTTTCTCCTCAGTGATGAGAAACAAGGACATACTAAACATGTAACTAATTCTCAAAACTCTGGTGATGTGAACAGTGTTTATAGACTGTTCTCTTTGCAAGCTACAGGGAAGATTGATTTTGCACTCATCTTGCTGGTCAGAATATTATCCCTGCTTATTTCCTCTAATTCAGGAATTTCAGCAGCTTTTTATTGGTATGTTTTTAAGACGCAATGGCAGCATCCCAGTGACAAAGCTTAGGTTAGGGTAGTATGGTTAGGCTGCAGTTGGACTTGATGATCTTCAAGGTCTTTTCAAACCTGAGCAATTCTATGATTCTATGATTGTTAGGAGTTTTCCTAGCACTTTGCTGAACCAGGGCAGCTGCACAAGACTTCCTCAGATCCCACAGCATCCCCCTTATACCCAAACCCCCTTGTGTCAGGGGTTGATTTGGAAATGGATGTGGAATATTGAAAGTGCAATAATGATGGCACTAGCATAAGTGGTTGGTGATAAAGCTGATGTTTTCAGCTTGCCTGAGTTGTTAAAGCTTGGGAGTCCTATAGATGTGAATTTCTGAGATCACGAGGCTCTGTCTACCTACGGTCATATTCCGGACCATTCCACTGTACCTTTTCCAGCCCAATCAAGTTCAAAAATAGCTTTGATCAAGCCAAATCATTCAGATCACAAACAGAAGCCCCATGGTGTTTTCTTTATTTTTGTCCCTTTTGCTGCCCCATTTTATTTTTGATCTGTATGTTAAAGACAATCTCATAAAGTGCCTAATAATTACATGCGGGTCTAAGCGGGTTCTTTTCTGCTCCAATTCTGTTTGTTTATTTGTTAGTTTGTTTTTTTTACAGGTTGAAAGCAAGCGGTGTCCAGATACACACCAGAAAAGTCACAGATCTATGGGAGCTGCACAGCGAGTATGACATTGTTGTCAACTGTGCAGGCATCGGAGCCCGCCAGCTTGTGGGGGACCAGCAGCTGTTCCCCATCAGGGGCCAAGTGCTCAAGGTTCACGCTCCTTGGCTGAAAAACTTCATCCGGGATGGGGATGGCTTAACTTACATCTACCCAGGGATAGACAGTGTAACTCTCGGGGGAACCAGGGAAAAGGAGAGCTGGCGTCTCTCCCCTGACCCTGGCACTACCAAAGACATCTTTGACAGATGTTGCTCCCTTGAGCCTTCGCTGCAACGAGCTCGGGATATCAGGGTGAAGGTGGGCCTGAGGCCATCCAGATCATCTGTGAGACTGCAGAGAGAGGTTCTGAGCCAGGGAGGAGCCAAGCTGCTGGTGGTCCACAACTATGGGCATGGGTCAGGTGGCTTTTCAGTGCACAGAGGCACAGCTGAGGAGGCCACTCACCTGGTGGGAGAATGCATTGCTGCTCTGCAGGGTTCCTCATCCAGGGCCAAGCTTTGAATCCCTGAACCTCCTTTTCCTTTTACAACAGGCTAATGCAGCATCTTCTTTTAGAACCTTTGGACTTTTATTTCATTAATAAATGGAGAGAAGGAAACTAAAACAACTCGTGCCTTTGCAGGCACTTGGTGGTATCTCACCTGGCTTCCAGTGGCCACCTTGGAAAAGTGCAGTGGGTCCATCCCAGCATTAGCCCAACTCTCCATCTCCTCCGTCTGGTATCATTTCTGCCCTGGTGATTTCTTCTAGCTTTGTGCTTGGGAGGGTACAAGATACATAAATATCCTTCACATAGCAAAAATCACTGCTTCATTATAATACAAATAATGTAAATTAATCATTTATTCATCTACATCTAAAGCATATTTGATGTACTAGATTCAGTAAAAACTAATTCTCTGCTGTTGTATTAGATCTACTCTAGTACTGTCCTTACTTTGCCACCTTGCTAACGAATTTTACAATTGCCTTTATGAGTTACAATAATAGTAAACTCCTGCTGAGTGCTGCATGACAGTGCTTTGGGTCAACTCTTGCAGAAAGCAGTGGCAGGGACAGGGACCCTGTCATGCACAGGGAACAAATAAGTATGATTTCAGGAGTAGGTTACATATTACACCTTGTGTGACTTGATACAAAATTTCTGCGAGAGGAAGTTGCCAGGTATGGGCCAGATTTATACCTCACCTTTCATGCTTTATTGCAAGTATCTTCTATTCTGAGTCTCTCTTGTTTTGCTCTCAGAAATAAGCTGATTTTTCCCAAATAGCAGTATTGAAATGGCCAGTCTGCCTGTATGATATGAAAGAGAATTTATCAGGGTGGGCTTGGGAGCACAAAAATTTCTACTTCTCTTCAGCACTTGCAGCTTTTCTTGTAAAGTTGATGAAAATAAACCAGCGACAAACCAACAAAGATCTTAGCACCAACTGCAGTTGTGTGAGTGAGAAACAAGCCATGTAAGTCTAGATAAACACTGCAAAGAGAAATTTGAGCTTGCTGTCAAAGTACAAGATGAATGTCTGACTGTTAGTGATTAAACTGCTCATTAGACTGGAAATGGCTTATTTAACTGTTAGCATCCACTTTTGACTCGTTCTTTGTCCTCAAGATTACAAACCAAATCAAAATCCTTCAAGAAATAACATGATTAAATTTGATAAATAAAATTCTAATAGCAGAGCAAATGTCATCTATGTGGTGTTTTCTTTCATAAACAGGAGTTTTTCTCTCATTCAAAGAGGCTTGCAGAGCCAAGAGGGGCCCTTGTATAACCACCAGGTTCAGAAGCATTTGCCAACTCCTGCTACTGGCACAGAGAATGAGGACAGTTACCCTTCACAAGGGACAGCTGTCGAAAAGGAACTAATTTAAATAAAACTGCAGGTCAGTTAGTGCTTGGGATCAACCTCAGCCAGCCCTGCCTTCAGCCATTTTGCCTTCTTCCCAGCTCCGGCTGCCAATTTTATGCTCCCCCCCCTCTCCCCCCCCCCAATAATTTGTCTTTTGAAAGGGCAGAGCTGCTGCTTTTGGCAGCAGTGTTGGCATTAGGCTTGTCAAAGCACAGCTTTGTCCTCAAATAACACAGAACAAAGAGATACATGGCTTAAACCCATGAGAATGGGTTATGTTTTCCTTGATTTTAATCTTAAAGTTTAGCTTAAGTTTGAGCTACAAAAACTAATAATACTCATAGCATGAATATATAGCACCACATTCTGCACTTCTGTAATTGCCAACGTCATGTGATGACATGGGTTTTGTAAAGGGAATTCTTTCACTCAGTTCACATGCCATTGCACTGCTTGTCTTGTGAGGTTGTTTTGCAGCTCCTTGCACTTTACTACCTTGGATGAGATGGTCCCATCAGCAGCCTGAGTCAGTCCACCACTTAACAGTATGTGGACTAGCACTGGCCCTCCTTTTCCTGTAGGATGCTATTGGTGACTTCCCCCCTGTGTGAAAATGGCTGAGAAATGCTTTCATCACCTCTCTGTCCTGTGGCCAGGAGCTAACTCACAAGAGGATATTCCCTCCTAGCCCATGTTAGATCAGCCTCTAGCAAGCTCTTGGTGACAGTTTATGAAGACTTCCCAGAACAAGAATGGATTTACTGACTAGGAATGTTCTTGTCTGCAGCCTCATTGCTCTGTCTTAAGTTGTTAGGTGATGATGACGCTTTGTTGCTCCTCACAGCAAAGCTCTGCTGACTCTTCCCTTAGTCCACACAGGCTTCAGAACTATTCTATTCCTATGGTTTTTACCACTTACTTGCTATGAGTATCAGACTTACTGCATTTCTCCAAGTCTCTCACAGCACTCAAAGGCAAGCAGTGTCACATGCCATTGTCTTTTCTTTGGCTGTTTTAAGTAAAAGGTTATGCACCATCCCTTAACAGCGCAGCAATCTGACATTAGTGTTCCCTCCGAGCGAGCAACATCTGCTTCTCATGAATTTGTTACTATCTGTTTCATCTGTTTATTCTAAAACCTCATCTAATGGCTCTTCAATCTAAGGCAGATTCTCTGCATTATCCCCTTAATAAATGGTTCTGCGGTGGGAATTTCACTAAGCTTTTGTGTGCTGAGTGCAGATACAGTAATCTATTTAGCTGTTCTCTTAGGGCTTCTTTTCCTGCAGACTCCTTTGATACTCTGACCGCCTGCTGGCTGCATACCTGGTGACCAGCAGCCCCTCTGGCAGAGCCCCTGCCACTGATGAATGAGAGAAAGCTTTTGGTCCATTAGCAAATTATTTCTTCAAAATATTTGTTAGTCTCCCAGTCTGTTTCTGTTTTTAATGCTACAGAGTTCATGTTCTTTTCCATTTCCTCATTTAAACAGGATTTATTTTGGTTGTTTCCCACTTAATTTTTATCAGGGTATTACGAGTCAGTAGTTGTATTTCTTCTGGAAAGCCTCTGATGTTTCTGTTGGGTCAATATTCATATAAAAACCAAGCATTTTAGTCTCACATCTTATTTTTAGACTTGAGACAAACAGAAACGCACATGCATCCAGCCTGATTGCTTCAATTTCTATGCCCTTTTAAAAGGGGCTTTATTTGCTTGGGTTGTACCTTGCTATTTCCTGCTTAATTGTGATTATAAAGATGTTAAAATGGCACCTACAAGGTGCCATCAACCCCTGCTCCTCTCTGTCCACTCGCTTTCCCCCAGTCTGTAGTTTGAAATCCTTTTTGTCTTGTTCTTTCATAGAAGACTTCTATGACTGCTAAGACTGCTAAAGTCTTGCCACATACAGGGCTGACCATCTGAAGTTCATTCGAATGAGTTCTTCCTTGCTTGTTCAGTCCTTGGGGTCAGTGTCTGGTGGTATCACATCAGTCACACTTGAGCATCTGCTCCTCAGCCAAGGTCCTTGCCAGAAGCAGAAGCAAAAATGGGGCCAGTGTGAACCCTTCAGCTTTAGCTGAAGGTGAGCTGCCACCCCAGTGATTTGCAAAACTCCATTTGATTCTAAATCTGTCTGCGCTGTTGAATCCATTCTATCATATTCATCTGGAAATGCCATGTCAAGGAAACACTCACACATGGGAATGGATTGATACTGGAAAATCATTAAGTCTCCTTGACTTTCCATGGTGATGAAGAGCCATGAAAGAATGTCACTTAGCTGTCACCTGTAGGAAAGCATGAACTTCTTTTCTTACTCACATCAGCCTCAGGGCTTACTCAGTGTGTGGCGCAACATCTTCTACCTTTGCCTCATAACATCCTGCCCTCCTAGGGAAGGATCCTTCCCTCATCTATCTGAAACTCCTGGGAGTGATAATTAGGTTTCAGCCTGGCTCTGGGAGCCATCCTTGTGCTGCTCCCAAGCACTCGATTGTCCACATGTAAGCTAAATGGACCATACTTGAGTATTGCCTTCCCACCCACACTTTCTAATTGACATTGAATAGCACTTCTGGCAGATGGCAACCAATCTGTCATGCTCATGATGAACTTCAAAGATGCAATTATGGCATAGGGAAGGAATAATTATGTTTTGAGACATTTTTTATCAATCCTTATGAAGGCAGACAGCAGATGGGCTGTGTGATGGATTTCAGAAATTGAACACAAAACAATAGCTTTCTGCAAGAGGGAGTTTTGTTGGTTTTCTTTGCAAAAACAAAGCCATAAAGACATAGTGTATTGATAAAGGCTTTTGCCTACATTTAAAACAAATTTGCCAGATTTCTGAAAAATACAGGAAAATTAGTGTTCATCATTCATTATAATTCTTCTTAAGTCGAACACAGCTGGAAAAAAACTTCGATGTGATACATTCAATTTTATTTGGACTAACTGTAGTAATTAAAAGGAAAACCATGGCCCAGACCGAGATTTATGTTGTTTTCACAGCCATTGTAAATAGCGTATGCTGCGCAATGATTTTATTCCATCCTGCTCTATTCCCTGTTTTCCACCAGAGGGTGATGTTGGATCGAGCAGTTGGTGAAACAAAAGCACTAGCTTCGCAATGCCTGAATGAAGTGATGCTGAACTCAGATAGTGGGAGTGTGGGTGCCTGTGAAGATCCACATATCTGTAAGGTACCGATGGCCTGGGGAACTTATGTGCTGCAGAGCATAATAATCATGTTCTGTATTTTACAGGAGAGCTTAAAAAAATGGGTAACATAATTCAGAAATCTGAAGGCAGCAGCACACCAGAAGCTGTTGTTAATAAAAATAACAGATTATAATTCTAAACCAAGCCAATGCTATAACAGGACCTCCCAGAGATTTTTAACCCAGAAAAGACTGCAGGGAAACCACTGATTTGAGCAGCCAGCTATCCTTGGTTCCTTATGTGGTGGGGGCAAAACAGCCCCTGGCTCCATCCCTGTGAGGCTGCAGCTTGGCCAGCTCTCAGCAGGCATTTTATCTCACACATGACATTTGGGTGCTTAGGTACAGGTAACTGTCATTGTTTTATGGCTGATCAGAAACAGTCTCTTTTGCTTCTGAGAATTTCCCCCTCAAATGCCCATTTTTCTCAGTAGAGAAGCCAAAGTCGATGGGGTTTTTTTGAAGAAAGAAAAGTGAGGGTTAGTTAAAGTTCAGCCATATGAAGAGGGAATGGTTGAGGTGAAAAGAAAGTGGGAAGAAACTTTCTGAAAATGTGCTTCACATAAACTATGTCGTGCATCGCATGCTGTCCTCTTGTCCTTGTCCTACAAAGACCTCCTTATTGCCAGCTCAGCCACAGCCATGTTCTGGACAACAATGGTTATCTGCTGTGGCAGAACTCCTGGGTTAATCACTGTCTTTGCCCCAGCTGACAATTTGGATAAAGCAAATGGCAGGGGAAAAAAGGCTTGCCCTCAGGGGAGGATGGAGCTGAGGAAGGAGCCCCTGCTTTCCTCACCATGCAGTGCAGGACAGGACTCCAAGGGGACAGGGCCTCTCCTCCCTGTGTGGCCTGCAGCCTGATGAGTGGAGCAGTGGGAGGACAACTAGTCTCCCTTGGGCATGCAAGTTTGGGTTTCTCATGCACAAGAGAAAGAGCTGTATCTCTGAAATAAATAATCTGAATAAGAAAAAGAAAAATCCCACTTTGAGGTGTGATGTGAATGAAAAAGCTCCTCTGACTTTTGAAGGAAAGGGGCTTAAGCATCTGAGGGCTGGGAAGAGACAGAAAGCTGGGATACTTTGCAGCACAGGGGAGAGCTCTCAATCACTCCGCCTCCTCTTTCTCATCAGTGCTGCAATGAGCCAAGATTTGGGAACGTGCTGGAGGCCCCATGCTCCCAGGAGCAACGCGTCTTCACAGAGGTGAGCTGCTGGGGAGATACAGTGATGACTGTTTTTGAGAATCCCCCCAAGGCCCGTTATGTCTCTTGGCTGTCTTGTGAGTGGGCCTGCACAACAGCAGAATTCCAGCAATAATCACAGAGAAAACTGCTATTGAGATTTGCAGTGGGGTAATTGCCTCAAACAGAAGGATAAATACCTTTTTTTTCTGGCATTTAATGGGCCTCTTAAGTGAATGGCAATAAACTCTATGCGAACAGATGTTTTCCCTCTTTTTTAGTTCCCTTGCAACTCATACATAATTATGCACTAAAATGTTCTTGTCTGGCTTTCTGAGAGCAATCTTACTGCTGTTTGTCTTAGTGATATAAGGCTGAGCAGTCCAGCACAAGGACTGAGCAAGAAGTCCTTGATTTCATAGGA